ACCTATCATCTCTCAACTCCTCCAAGGCAATATTCTCAAGCCCACCCACTCCCCTCACAACACCCCCATCTTAGCTGTAAAAATACTTAATGGCTATTTCCGCCCAGTTCAAGATATGCACCTCTTCAATCAAGCTGTTATCCCCATCCATCCAATAATCCCCAACCCTTACACCCTTTTATCCCATATTCCCCCAACCATCACGCGTTTTTCTGTCCTTGACCTCAAAGATGCCTTTTTCATCATTCCTCTCAAAACCTCCTGCCAGAAGCTGTTTGCATTTACCTGAACCAATCCGGACACAAATACATCCTCCCAAATTACAGGGACAGTCTTACCTCAAGGGTTTAGAGACAGCCCCCATCTTTTTTGGACAAGCCCTGTCACAGGATTTTTCCTCCCCAGCAGTCTCCTGCAATACATACATGATCTGCTTCTCCACACCACTCAGCTCCTGAATTTTCTCCATGACTGAGGATACCAAAGTCTCCCCTGATAAAGCCCAAGTAGGCCAATCCAAAGTCATTTATTTAGGACCAACCCTAACACCCCCAGTCCCAAGCTATCCCCACTGCCCAGAAAAGGCTAATGTAAGAACTCCCCATTCCACAAAACCAAAGAAATCTCCTTTCCTTTCTCAGGTTAGCGAGCTATTTCTGCCTCTGGGACCCCAACTTCAGCTTTCTAGCCAAACCCCTATATGAAGCTGCTAAAGGAAACCCTGCCAGACCCCCAGACCCAATCCTCCCCTTTACTTCTTATTTTACAAAAATAAAGGAGGACCTCTTCCAAGCACTGGCCCTAGGACCCCTGATCCCACCAGACCCTTTCTCCTTCTTACTGCCACACAAGACCTAGCCTTAGGATGCCTCTGCCAAACCTACGGCAACATCTCCCAAGCAATAGCGTATCTCTGTAAACAACTAGACATGGCAATACAAGGATCACTCATGCCTGAAGTTACTGGGAGCCACCACCCTTCTAGCCCCTGAAGCTCACAAATTCACACTTTATCAACACTCACCATCCTTTCTTCACAAGCCTCCAAGAGCTCACCAGCCACTGCTCTCTCTTATCTTTCTCTCTCTCCCACCTGCAACAGATTCAAGCCCTCTGTGTAGAAAACCCTCTCATCTCCTTCCAACACTGTAAAGCCCTCAATCCAGCCACCCTCCTGCCCCCTCCCGGTGACCCCTCAGATGATAATCCCCATTCTTGCCTTGACCTCCTAGATGATCTCCTATTACCTCTTCCCATATGTCCAAAACCCCAATACCCACAGCCCCTTCCTTGGTTTATTGACAGCAGGTTTTTAAATACCCTTGTCCTAGAGCAGGATATGCCACTGTCACTCTAAACTGAATTGCTGAATTAGACTCCCTAGCCCCCCACACCACATCTCAACAAGCTGAATTAGTAACCTTAATTAGAGCACTGACTCTAGCCCAAAACAAGCAAATTAACATATACACTGACTACAAACCTGCAGTCCATACCCTCTATTCCCATGCTCTAATATGGCAAGAACAAGGATTCCTCACCATTCAAGGATCCCCCATCATTAACGGAAAACTGATCCATAAACTGCTCAAAGCTGCACAGCTACCCCAAAAGTCAGCTGTCATCCACTGCAAAGGACACCAAGGATCAGCAGACCCATCTCAATTGGTAATGCCCTCGCTGAATCAACAGCTAAGAGAGCTGCAAATATAATCTCTAACCATCCCATCAACACTACCACCCATCAAGATATCCAAGCATAATCCCTTCTCCCCATCTTCCCCTCCTTTTCCCCCTTTTACTCTGACAAAGAAATACAACAGTTTACCCAAATACCCCCAGGAGAAATGGATGGTTCCTCCGTGATGACAAGCTCATCCTCCCCCAAGAGCAAAAAAAGTTTATCCTGTCCACTGTTCGTGGCCACTTGCACACAGGGTATCTCCCACTTCTCCATCTCCTTGAGCCTTACTTGCATTTGCCCACCCTAGCAGACAGACACCCTCAAACAAATAACCCACGCCTGCCATCTCTGTGCCAAGACCTCCCCTTAAGGGGTATTCTGACACACATCAAGCCAGAGGTCATCTGCCAGGACAAGGCTGGCAGATTGACTTGATACATATGCCTCCTGTCAGGAAAATCCACCATCTCCTCACTCTAGCTGACACTTACAGGATGGATAGAAGCTTTCCCTTCCACTTCCAAAGAGGCCCAAACTATAGCCACAGTCCTCTTAGAATACATCATCCCCAGGTTCGGATTACCCTCTCTCTGCAATCTGATAACGGCCCCAGCCTTCACATCAAAGATATCACAGATGCTCTCAAAATCTCTCAGCATCACCTGGAAATTTCACATCCTCTACCACCCACAGTCCTCTGGAAAAGTAGAACGAGCCAATGTTCTCATTAAACAGCACCTCACTAAACTGACCCTTGAAGCCAAGCTACACTGGAAAAAGCTTCTCCCCATTGCTTTTCTTCACCTCTGCGCCCTCCCTGGCAAAACCTCAAGCCTTAGTTCCTTCGAACTCCGGTATAGTCCTTCACGGACTGCCCACCATTGCCTCCCCGCTCCCGATCTACTACCAGCATTCCACCTGACCAGAGACACCCTCCACAAATACACTGAATCAGCCATCCCAAAACCCATCCCAACTCAAGACTCCCCACTCCTCCAACCCAAGGATTGGATATGGGTTACTAGCTCCCCCTCCCCTTTAAAACCCAAGTGGAAAGATCTATATCAAGTCATCCTTACCCCACCTACTGCAGCCAAACTTAAATCCTTCCTGCACTGGATATATAATAGCCCCCTTCCTAGTTGGCCTTCCACCTGAGGAACAGAGAAACCAAACTATGACAGTCCTTCCTCCTTTTCCTGGCTAGCCTCACTAAAATTCGACTTCTGTCTCAGCACCCAGGAGCTGCTCTTTTTTTGCTGCTCCTCCTCCTTGTAAGGCTAGAGGCACCGGAGGGAGGGGTGAGCACGTCGGACACTGATGATGTGCCAAACTCCCTGGCTGCTGCCCCCTCCCAACCTGAAAAATGTGCCTTAGGCTAGCCAATCCTTGCACCACTGTAAATCTATGCTCTGCCTCCCCCTACCTTCTTTAAAAACTCACTGCCTGCCCTGCTGGGCACGACTTCTCCAGCCTGCATTTGTGCAGACTGGTGAACCTCACCCGGGATTGTGCTCAAATAAACTGCCTAGCCTTTGTTGCCTCTAGTCACCTGCTTATTTCGGTTAGAATTTATTTTACACTTCTATTGCTGCCTCCCAGCCAATTGGACCGGAATTTGTACCTTAATATAGCAAATCCCCCAGACAGACATCATGCCCAGTAACCACACAATCACCATTATGCTCCTTCAGTCCAGCTCATCAGCTGTTTAGTCCAAACGAGCCATTGCATCTCATTCCATTTCTCACAGGTCTAAGCATCTCTGCAGTCCTAGGCGCCAGAGTCACAGGAGTAACCACATCAACTTTCTACTTTCAGAAATTCTCCCAAGCACACACAAAAGCCCTAGACCAAATGGCACACAGTATCTCAGCCCTCCAAACCCAGCTTGACTCCCTAGCTAGAGTCATCCTTCAGAACAGACTAGGGCTAGACCTCCTTACTTCTGGAAAAGGAGGCCTCTGCCTCTCTCCAAGAAGAATTCTGTTTCTATATCAATCAGTCAGCACTGTACAGGGCACTGTACAGAAACTGAGATGAAGCCATCAGACTGCACAGGTGATAGCAAAAGCTCTTGGGACCCTGGTCCGATCTCATAAAATAGGTCCCATGGGTTGTATACCCATCATAATGATTACCTCCTCATAACCTTTGGCCCCTGTATCCTAAATCTATTAACAAAATTTTTGTCCCAATGCCTACATTCATTCATCCAGACAACCACACAAAAGCATGTCACCAGCATCCTGCTGCTCCAACACCACTGACATCAGCTCCTCAAAAACCTACTTGACCCTTCCGAACCAGACTGCACCCTCACACAACAGGAAGCAGCCCTTCCTCCCTTCTTTAAGACCATGACAAAATGGTAGGAATGTTAGCATGAGATTCCCCATCTTTAACACTGTCTCAATTTTTGTGAAGATGGAAAACTCCTGCCTGAGCTCAAGTCATGAGAATATCCTGCTCGGCCCCTATCAACCTGACTTCAAAAGTTACCTCCCTAGCAAACCCTAGCAGCAATTATCAACCCAGCTGCAAAAGCTACTTCCCTAGCAACAGTAACAGCAAAATTTTCTGCCTCCCAAAATATCTCCTCCCTGTGTCCTATATATCTACCCCAGCCTGTAAACAGAGAGGGCTTCAGCCCTTTGCTGGAGACACCCTCTGCACGTTTATCTCCAGTGTTGTCGAGCCTGCCTCCTGTATTTTCTTTCCTAATCTAAAACCTTAACTAAGGATGTAACTTTTGAAGCCGGTATGATAGCTGTTGATAGAGGTTGCTATGGAGGTAACTTTTTAAGTCAGGTTGATAGGGGCCAAGCAGGATAGTCTCCTGGCTTGAGCTCAGGTGGGAAATTTCCATTCTTCACAAAATGGAGATGGTGTTAAGATGGCGGATCTCATGCTAACACTACTCATCATTTTCTAGTTATTCATCATCCATTGAATCTTTTCCTCCATTAGCTCTGACGACCGAAGGCAAACCTGAAACACGTAAGGAGAGGGCAAATTTTGAAAAGAAAGCTCCAAAGGGAGCCCGGGGCCGGATCTTTTGTCCTGCGGTCCCTTTAAGAGAAGAACCTTTTAGGAACAGCCATCCCAACCCACCCCCGTTTCAACCGAAACCTAAACCGGACTTCCCCTCTTGACTCAAATGAGACCAATTTTGGATTTTCCCTCCTCTACTGACCAATCAGATCCTGTTACCAGGCAGACTTTAGATGCCGCCGGCGGGTGCCCGGCGCCTTCTGCCTCCGTGGCAGCAACGACCAATGATAAAGCAGGCCGTCCGAGTATCTAGGCAGATCGGGGCTGTCCCAGCCACTCAGAAAAAAGAAAATAAAGCAACGCACTAGCCTTCTGGGCCCGACCGTAGGGCTGGGCTGGAGTGAAGGTGCCTACGCGGTAGTTTCTCTTTCTCCCGTACCTTTATTGTTACTTGTGTTGGAAGGCGACTGTTTAAAGGTAGGGACGGGACACTGTGAGCTGGGAGGAGAGCAGAAAAAGATTTGGCCTTATTTTCAACAGCTTCTTCACCCATGTGCACGTACCCGAATCTGGGACCCCGTTCCTCCAACCGGGTTTTTTTACACCCAGCCCAAGAGTACCGTAGCCCAGGACCCCCTACTCTGCAGCAACCAGGGATTGAATAGAGGAGGAAGGGAGGGAGGCGGGGGCGCACATGAGGATGGGATGTGGAGGGAGATGACGTAGGGGCCGGCGACGGGGGGGACTTGGGCCCAGCTTTTTCCAAGCCTGGAAGGGCAGAATATGTTAGTATCCTTTGACTTCCCAGGCAGATTCAATGGTGAGGAGTATATTAGAGAATCAGAAAACTGTTTTATGGTGATTATCGTTTTTTCAGGGGAAGAGGGCAGTATGGGGTCAGAGGCAGAAATGCAAATTTATTTCTAACGTGGATTCCCAGTCGCCCTATCTCTTCCTTTACAGTTTTTCACACATTTAGGAGACTGCAGAAAAGTGGGGCAGATAGAATACAGATGGCAAAGATCTCTTTGGGTATATATGGGCCCAGAGAAGAAATGGGATAATTTCTCGTTTTTGGAGAAGGCAAGTGGTGAGAAAAAGGCCACGAGGGAAATTCAGAGGCTTGCTTTCTGTTTCTCTGTCTTTCTGGGTAGAGAGATGAGTGCTCTGGGTTCTCCCGAGGAAGGGAAGTTAAGTCTTCGAGTCCTGTCTCCTGTCAACTCTAACCCTCATGCCACGATGGCAGAAGATGAACCTGATGCCAAGAGCCCCAAGACTGGGAGGAGGGCCCCCTCAGGTGGTGCTGAGGCGGGGGAACCTACCACCCTCCTGCAGAGGCTCCGAGGTACCATTTCGTAAGTACTCACCATCACCTCTAAATATTGTTCCAGACCTGGGTAGAGATCCTTGCAGCATTTCACTTCCTCTGTAGATGAGCTGCTGCTCCCTGTGCAAGTGCATCTGACAAGGGGGAGACTCTTCATCATGGTAGCAGTTGTGAACACCTGATAGGCATTTCAGCCCTCTTCTCCCTAGCAATCAGACACAGGGATGGGGGAAAATCTGGTGTATGACCTCCAGCTTTCTCCTCTTGTCCACAGCAAGGCCGTGCAGAACAAAGTAGAGGGAATCCTGGTAAGTGTTTTGGGGAAGAGGGCAATTAAGAGATGGAATTGGTAGGGGATGAGGATAATGAGGATATGGGTACGTGAAAGGCTTATGGGGGAGAGGCAGTGTTGTCTACCCTGTCAGAAGATAATTGACTTTGCAATTTGCTACCAATTTAACCTTGAGCATCTCATTTCATCTCTGTGACTTCCCATGTAGCCCTGCAGAAATAAAACCAGAGCCGATCCCCACAGATCCCCCTACCACTATGGTCCACAAGGGCTCCTCAGACACAGTGAGCACGCAACCTCAAATCATTTCAAGGTCCGTTTTCAGTCTGACAGTTGCTAAGTCAGCTAGACATTTCTGTAAGGATCAGAGGGCCCTGCCTTAGCTTCTTCTTGGCTTTATTATTTCTCCCGCCTCTGTTCCTACTTCAGCAAGATGTGCAGAAATTCTCAGACAACGACAAGCTGTATCTCTACCTTCAGCTACCCTCAGGGCCCAGTACTGGAGATAAAAGGTAGGTTTGGTGCTAGAGTTTTCGGTGTCAGAGATTTTGACTCCTAAAAAATGGCCCGCTGGGAAGGGGCATGTGAATAGGATTACTCATAACAGCTGTCTCTGATCAAGAAGAAAAGTCCTTGTTCTGTCATGTTTTACCAGGGACAGGAGGATTCTGGTGATTTGGTCCAGCAATACTGTAGTAGGCTGGATAGTACCAGGACAACTGTTTGGATCTTAGTAATGCTTGTCCTTTCTACTTCTCTTACAGCTCAGAGCCAAGTACACTCAGCAATGAGGAGTACATGTATGCCTACAGGTGGATCCGCAACCACCTAGAAGAGCATACTGATACCTGTCTGCCAAAGCAAAGCGTTTATGATGCCTATCGGTGGGTGGATGGGGTAGGGTGGAGGGACAGTAGGCACAGGACTGCCCCTTCACCCCTGGAGAGCTCCCTACCTTGAAAGAGCCTGACTTTTTAAAGGGTTTTCCAAGCTTAATCCCCAGGAGCCTCTGAACCCATCAATGACCTCCTCCTCTGAGTGTCTTACAACTCTGCCCCCACCCACTCAGGAAGTACTGTGAGAGCCTCGCCTGTTGTCGCCCACTCAGCACAGCCAACTTTGGCAAGATCATCAGAGAAATTTTCCCTGACATCAAAGCCCGAAGGCTAGGTGGCCGGGGCCAGTCCAAGTATCCTTGAATGGAGAGGTTTGGGCTGGACGACCTGGGGAGGAAAACTTAGGATGTGGAGAGCCAGGGTTGGAAACAGCCGAAACTTCCCGAGGGGCTTGGAGACCCTCACATGTTGGCTGCTCTTTAACTTGAATCAGATATTGCTACAGTGGCATACGAAGGAAGACCTTGGTATCTATGCCACCCTTGCCTGGACCTGACCTAAAGGGCTCTGAGAGTGTAAGTAACAAACAGCCCTCTAGTTGCACTCTTCTCTCCGAGGGAGAAGGCAGAGGTCTTTGGGACATGGTTTGAGGGTTAACACAGCCTACGCCATTCTAGCTCCTAGCTGTATAGCATATGCCCTTGTACCTACCCAATGACTGAGGCAGACGTGAAGACATTTCTGGCTTTCTAGGGTCGGGTGATAGAGGCTACTCCCATCCAAGTCTGGGCTTACCATGGTCAATATTGGTGTCCAAGAGGGGCCAAGGATTCTGTAGTTTGGAATGTGATTAGACATGTCCTTCCCCACTGCAGCCAGAAATGGGGCCAGAAGTAACCCCAGCCCCTCGGGATGAACTGGTCGAGGCAGCCTGTGCCCTGACCTGTGATTGGGCAGAACGAATCCTGAAACGATCCTTCAGTTCCATCGTTGAGGTCGCCCGCTTCCTGCTACAGCAGCATCTCATCTCTGCCCGGTCTGCACATGCCCATGTGCTCAAGGCCATGGGGCTTGCTGGTGGGTGGACCCTGTCTCATGTCCTGAGAAGTCCTCAGCCACTTTCAACATCAAAAGCCCTCCTATATGCTAGGATGAACACCTTGGACTTGCCCTCCATTGCTAGAGAGACCCTTCTAGGACATGCCTTAGACCATTTTCTTTCCCCTGCTTCTATCAGTCAATCAGAATTGGGTCACTCCATTCTGTCTCTTCACCCAACCTTATTACCTTTTCTGGCACCTCTGCAGAGGAAGATGAACATGCCCCTCAAGAACAGTCATCTAAATCCAAGAATGGTGTAGAGAACCTAGAGGGTGGAGCCCTTAAGAAATCAGAGAGACCAGCCCAGGTAAGGAAGTTGATGCCCCCAACTTTGCAGTCCTGGGCTGAGTTTAGTATGCCATTCCCCTGGTGAGTCCTATACTTGTTCACCTCCTGTGCCTATGTTTCCTCCAATGTCCAATCTTCCAATGTACTGTATTCCTCTCTTTACTTTTTAGCCTTCTAAGGAGCTGGAACCCAGGGCTGGGGCTGGCCCTACAGCACGTGGAGAGCGGAAGAAGAGTGTAGTGGAGAGCCTGGCCCCAGCAGCTAATAACCCGCAAGTTAATGCCCTAGTGGCTCGGCTGCCTCTGCTCCTCCCCCGGGCCCCTTGCTCACTTATTCCACCAATCCGAGTCTCTCCGCCCATCCTGGCCCCCAAGCTTTCTTCAAGTGCTCTGAAAGTGGCTACGCTGCCTCTGCCCTGTGGGGCTGGGGGGCCCCAGGCAGCTGTGCCCATCATTAACATGATCTTACCAACTGTTCCTGCTTTGCCTGGGCCTGGGAAAGCTGCACCTGGGGGGTTCACTCAGTCTTGGGGCACAGAGAACAGAGAAGTGGGCACAGGTCGGGACCTGGGACCCTATGACAAAGGTGTCAAGAGGACAGCCGAAGTTCCTGTGAGAGAGGCCACTGGGCAGGACCCACCAGCTAAAGCAGCAAAGCAGCATACAGAGGATACCAGAAGTGATGCCAAAAGGAAACGGGGGCGCCCTCGGAAAAAATCAGGTGGAAGTAGGGAGAGGAATTCTACTCCTGACAGGACAGCAGCTGCCACGGACTCTGCCCAGTCCTCAAGGTTACCACGGGAGTCATGGGCCTCTGTAGGGGAAAGCAACTCAGCTGGAGGGCCAGAGAGGCCAGAGGCAGTGAGAGAGGCCGAGAAGGGGATGGTACTTGCCCAAGGTCAGGAAGTTGATGCTGTTGCCAGGGGAGGTAGGGGCCCCAGTTCCCGGCATGACAAAGCAGAAAGTAAAATTCCTCTTGCCACCCCAAAAGTGTGTGTCATCAAGGGCAGCAGAAGCCAGAAGGAGGATCTTCTTTTGGTAAAGGGAGAGGTAGACACTACAGCACAGGGTAATAAAGACTCAGAGGGGCATGTGCTTCAAAATTCCTTGTCCCATGAGGGCTAAGACCCCAAAGCAACACCCCCATGGTAGGTTTATGAAGAAGAGTGTTTATATCCATGTGTGAATTCTACCTGTCTGCCTTGTAGAGGCCCTTCTCTGCACTTGCTTCTCATTTGGCTCTTTTCCTAAGAGAATTCATTCTCTTCTATATGGTTATCTAAGGCACCCTGTCTTACGCACTGCCTGGTTCCTGCCTCTAACCTTTCTAGCTCGATACTCTTGGATTTAGAGTCACTAATAAATCTGTAGTGGCTGCCTTACCTGGCTCCCTGTGCTATCCTGTGGGAAGGTAGAGATGGAGTAAGTATGAAGAACATAAAACTTCAGTATTTTTCGGCTTTAAGTCAATAGAAACTGTACTCAAACTGGCTTAAAGATTTATTGGCTCATGTAAGTGGTAAGCCCAGAGGTAGCACTGGCACCAGGTAAAGGTGATCGTGGCTCAGCATGTTTCTAAATACCTGGTTGATCCTCCCCTGTCCCCCAGCTTCTCTGCCTTCCCTAAGGTCATCTGAAGCCTGGGTTGCCTTGTGGCTGTTAGCACTCCTGGGTGTTTACATGTTTCCTCATTTATGTCCAGCTGTAAAGAGAAGGCATCTTTGTGCCAGGAACCCTAGCAAAAGCCCTAAGATTAACTCTGAGGCCAGCCTGGGTCACATGCTCACCCCTAACTTGTCACTGTGGCCAGGAGAATGGTGTGTTGCTCTTTTGCATATTCTACATGATGGACTTCATTTTGGGGAAAAGGGTGGGATGAGCCTCCTTAGTCACATAGCTGACCCCTCGTCACTAGTATAAAGTCATTTGGTTTTTTTAGCTTGCTAGGTTAAAATCAGCTTTACCTGCTTCGTTTTTCCCTCATAGTCTTGTGTTTTCCTTAGTAGAGCTATAACTGCATTCCTCTTGTTTCAGTCCCATAAAGAATGAGAGGGAAGTCATTCTCCTTTAGGGACTAAATCTTTAGTTTCATTTAGGTGACAATCCCTTTTTTTTTTCACCTGCATCTCAGAGATGGAGATTATTCTTTTTCCTGTTTCCCAATTTTAGCTTTCTCCCCATTCCTGCTTTGCTATCCCCCAACCCTACTGTCATTTTCACCAAGTAAAGTGAAAGATTTACTTCCTAGTCATTTTGTTAAATTCATTCTGTATCCACCAGGTGTCAGTCTCTTGTCATACATGTGTCAGGACTTAGCCAGGATTATGGATTTCAGGATAGGCATATGGAAGGAGGTAGCCCTGCATATCAGGAAGCACCAGCAGGAAGGGAATCCAGACCCTCCAGGCGTATCCTTGGGTAAAGTAGTAAACCAATCAGTATTTATTGAGGATCCACTTGTCTTCTGCATAGGGTAGCTTCTGTCAGGAAACCATGGTTCTTCCCAAGAAATACAGATTTTCTTCCAGGGAGACTTCATTTCATTTGTTTCCACCACAGCAAATTTTTTAAAGCGATACTGTGTAATATTTGATATCTATAAGGAATATATTTAACATGAATAAATTATGAAGAAGCATACTAATTAAATAAGTACCTATGACCCATCACCTCACACATTAAAACATTAGAAATACCATTGAATTTCTTGTGTTCCTCCCCTGTCCTATCCCCTAGAGGTAACCACTGTTCTTAATTTTATGTTTGTATATATATATATATCCTTAAAGGATGTTCAGTTTTGCTTTTTAGCTTTAAAAAATTTTATGCTCTAATAGTCCCCTACAGTTTTTTTTCACTTAACATTATTTCAAAGATTCATCCATGTTGTAGACAACTATGATTCTTCATTTTCATGTGTATAATATTCCACTAAGTACATAAACCACAAGTTACTCATTCACCTATTAATAGACATTTGGTTCTAATTTTTTGCTGCTGCGAACAATGCTTCTATGAACATTCTCATTCATGTTAGTGTCTTTGTTTTTAGTAAGATATCTAAAAAGGCTTCTAGGATGGATCTTTTGGTCCGTACATCTTAAGTTGGGGACTGATGCCTCTTATTCTGTGAAAGTTTACATCATACTGAAATGAACTGTCCCTTGGAAGTCTGGTAAAACCTGTTAGGCCATCTGAGCCTGGTGTTCCTTTGTGAGAAATATTTTAACCATTGATTGAGTTTCTTTAATTATAGGCTATTTGGGCTATTTCTTCTTGAGTCAATTTAGGTAAAGTGTTTTCCTAGAATTTTGTGCATTTCATTTTGTTTTTAAGAAATGAAATTTCTTCTATTTCCTTCTTTTGCCTCTCCCTGCTTGTAGTCATATCTCCCTTTTCATGTCTACTGTTTATTTGTGCCTTGTTACCCTTGGTCAATTGCACGAGAAACGTGTTATTTTACATGTCTACTTTCAGCTACCACACTAGGCTTTGTTGATCTCCCTTAAGTAATTTTTTTCCATTTCATTAATTATGAATTTTAAATACAGTAGTTCCTTTCTTCCGCTTTCTTTAGATTTACAGTTGACCCCTGAACAATGTGGGGGCTAAGGGTGCTGACCCCCAGCACAGTTGATAATCTCTGTATAACTTTGGCTCCCCAAACTTAACTACCAATAGCCTACTGTTAGCCTGAAGTCTTACTGATAACATAAACAGGTAAGTAACACATACTTTGTACATTATATGTACTATATGTTGTACAATAAAGTAAGCTAGAGAAAATAAGTCACAAATTTCCAAAACATTTTTCAGTGTATTTATTAAAATATTCCATGCATTAAGTGGACCTGCATAGTTCAAATTTGTTGTATAAGGGCCAACTATAATTTCATGTTCTTGTATAACATCTGAACTTTAACACCTATTAATTTTCAAGTTTTCTATTGTTAAGTTTTCAAGGACTTGCTTTTCTATATTCCCCAAGTTTTTCTGTTATAAATATTTTAATTATTTAATTCCAAGGATATTTAAATTACTTTTGTGACTTTTTAAATTTATAAATTATGTTTTTCCAAATGTCTGGATTTTTAAAAATTTCTCTCTGATAATTCATTTTTAGCTTAATCATTTGTGCTCAGAGATATAGTCTTTGTGATACCAAGTCTTTAAAATTTGTTGGGATTGTTACTGTATATTCTGTAACCTTGGATGTCTAAATCTGTTTTGTTGTTTTCACTGAATCTTGCCCATGGTAATTTGTTTCCTTATATATTGTATATTTTGGATATTTCAGCTCATATTTTGTTAAAACTTAATCTGTGGGAATCCAGAGGGTCTAAGTTGGAGGTAATTTCCTCCAGAGAAGATTTGCATTTGCTTCTACCAGGAGCAGTTCTCCTGGACCTGTGTTAGCCCCTTCAAGAGTCCCAGTGTAATTAACGAGTCCCAAGTTTTCTTCCCTTCCTTGATTAGACTCAAGGTTTATCCTCTGTTCAGAATACTGATATTGGTATTTGTCCACAGGGCAAACCTGATTTTCTACTGCATGTTCTTCTTCATATTGGTGTCAGCCTAATGTTATTGTTTCTTCCTTTAGTGAGTTCTCTTACTTTCTAATTAGCCCAGCAATATGCCAAACATTGCTAATTTACCCAGGATCTAGTTGTATTGTAATGGGAGAGTCCTTGTGTTATCATGCTGCTAGAATTAGGAACCCATTACTGTAGTTTTGATATTTTCCTTCTTGTTTTTTAAGTGGTAGGCACTTGTTAGAAGCTAGTTGACTTAGGATCTGTCTTCAAGTCAATAATGATCACAGCGCAGCATGAGTTAATGTTTGCAGTAAACAGAGCTATAGGAGCCCAGAGGAACAGAGTATGTCAGGCAGAGATCAGAAATGACTTCCCAGTAAAGACGAGTTAGGAGTTAACTGGACATGTCTAACTCATAAAGCAAGGACAGAATAAGATGTGGTAAAAAGAACTAAATCATGATACTGATTCTACTGCACAAGAGCTGTAAATTCAGAGACCACTTTGGGCTGAGTAATTTGGTAGGGCTACATGGAAAGGGTAGGCTTGAGTTAAGTCTTTAGGTAAGTAGAGTTTAGATAGGTGAAAAAGAAGAAGGAATTCCAGGAAAAGCAGGGGGTTAGGGATATGGAATGTGAATAAAGGCGTGGCAGTACAACCCAGCAAAGAAACCTGTCAAGCAGAAGGGATGTGTATGAACAATAATAAGAAATAAACCAGAAGAACACACAAGTATTATAGTTAACTACTGATTGAAAGGTATGAAGTTTGCATGAGAGGACAGAGGAACTGAAATCAAAAGGAACCAGCTGTTGTTATCCATGTGGGAGGAGATGAGGGACTGGACCTGTCACTGCTGAGAGAGGTGACAGGTACATGGAAAAATAAAACCACTGGTGATGGAAAGATACAAGCTTCAAAGGAAATACTGTTCTCACCATGAATGGTGATGTATCTATGCATTCTAGGAGCTCAGACCACAGGATGATTTTTGAGATTTACATGATTATGGGGCTTTTAAGTAGCCTATTTTTAAAACTAACATAAAACAAGTTATTCTTCTGTAGTTCAAGCAGTCTTCAGTTTACTAGATGATGGGCCAAACTAAAATTTGGGGGACTGCCCACTGCTTATTCTCTTACCATTCCTTATTCTCTCCTAAAAACTCTATTCCCCACTCCCATTTCCCCCATAGTGTTGTCTTTTTTCATTTTAGCCCTATCTTAAAGATAATTTATAATGTACTAAAATTTGAGATAATTTTTCGCTATTTAACCAAGACAAACTGCATGTCTAGTCTCAAATAAATGAACTTATTTTTGAGTGACCTCAAATAAATGAACTTATTTTTATAGACAAGAATCAGCTTTCTTTAGAAATTAAAGCAGATGACACATTCACTCATACTAACCAGGGGAATTACTTCATTATGTATTTATCTTAAGTGTTTGTCACATGTATGGTTCCTAGTAGATCTACTCCTTTGCCTAGATCATCCTTCTGGCTCTATCCCACAAGAGAAAGTTAAAACAACATATACATAATGCAGTATTTCTTAAATGTCCATGAGGAGGCATTTATTTACTAGGAAGAGCATGAACTCAGGTCACATATTAGCTTTACTACTTTCTATATAACAGAACATTTATTTGATCCAATTTTTTCAAACTGTAAATTTCAACCCTTTAGTGGATTGTGAAACTGATTTAGCAGAATGCAACTTTTAAAGAAGTGAAACCGAAAATATCCCTGTACATTGCACATAGTAAGGGGTAACTACCATTTTATGAAACATTTCAGTGAAGACATGTCTATGTGTTCTTCAGGTAGTCATGATATAAAATGTATTTATTGTGGGTTGAAGTAAAACAATTTTGAAAAACAATGACAACCATTCTGAAAGCTCAGTTTCCATAAAATGGGATAAAAATCTCTTTCACAGGGTTGTAATGAGGAATAAATGAGGTAATGTTTATATTAATGCAGATTAGGGGCTCAAGCAGTAACTGCTAGCCTTTCTCTAGAAGAAAGTCTGTAACATCTAAGGTTCAGGGAAAAAAATCACTTTGTATCTTCTTTAACCACAGGAGTGTTTCCTATATAATTGGAGTTGTATTATGACCTGGGTCCACTAGCTGTACCAACTGTTGATGAATAAGCCAACTTCTTTCCCTACTTTTAGGAAATTAAATATGATAAGTAAATGACATTAACTGACCCCTTTTTTCCCATTCCTTGAGGTGCCACATGCATGCATACATTCCCATGCAAGAGGCTTCACATGCCCACAGGATAGTATGGATTCCCACTGGGTCACATGTCATCCATGTGCAACCATGTGTACCTGCAGCAGCTTCCTGGGACTTAACATACAGGTATTTTTCTATCAGAAGAGAATTTTAGAAAAATAGGTTCAGTGTGGTGAAGAATTTTAAAAACTATTATATATGCTATACTTCCAAATTTAATATAGTAAAAATAGCATTCAGTTTTAAAACTTGACAGGGAGACTGAAAACTAAAAGGGGAAGAAAATATGGTCAAAATATTTTAAATATTTTTAACTTATTAATTTACTTCTGAAAACTAACTCTGTTTTCCCAAAAAAAAAAAATCAGTGAGACAATTGTATTTTACATTTTTGGAAAACTTTAATGCCTGACTTGATTCTCGTATCTGTTTCTGCATTCAGTCTGTTCAGCATATATGTATCAACAAATATAATTCCCACCACCACCACCCATCATAGAAACTAAGGATACAGCTAGAATACAAAGATAAATCCTTTAAAAACAGAAGTCAGAAAGACAAAGTCATAAACATGGAAAGAAATTTACACATGAGCTCTTAAAACTATGAACAGAAAACTTGAAACAAACTCTACTTAATACTGGGGTGTGTGTGTACGTGTGTAGGACAGGGTCTCATTTGGTTAATAAAGCACTTATAACTGCCTATAGCTATAAAAAGTTACTAAAGTTGAAATGAGATAGTAACTACACTTAATGGGGTCCATATAACAGAACATTTATTTGATCCAGTTTTTTCAAACTGTAATTTTTATGGACAGGTATCAGCTTTCTTTAGAAATCAAACCAGATGACACATTCACTTATACTAACCAGGGGAATTACTTCATTATGTATTTATCTTAAGTGTTTGTCACATGTATGGTTCCTCAGTAGATCTACTCCTTTGCCTAGATCATCCTGGCTCTATCCCAACTTTTTATAACACAGATAACTGTCAAATCACTATGTCATATGCTTGAAGCCAATATAATAATGTGTATCAACTATACTTCAATAAGAAAAGGAGAAGAAAGGTTTGATCAGAAATATTCCTGAAATCTTTTGTTACTGGAAAATACACTTCCTACTATAAAAAGGCTGTCACATCTCTTTTTACAATGTTTCAAAAAGACTTCTGGCCCTTTGGAACCCTTCCCCTGGAAGGGATGGATGTGTGACATTTTAACTTTAGGCTAAAGTAGGGTCATCACCTCTTGATACTTGCCTGACAGCTGACTGGGAGCTAACCGAGAGCTGAGGGGCCTGACAGGTGGACTGGTGATTCCCCCCTCCACTAGTGTTGACAAATTTAAACTATCTTTGGCACTCAGCCTCTTTCTCTCCTCATGTTTTATTACTGTACTCCTGTTTTAAACTAGCTTATTGTCTTGCCCTTTCCTCATGATTTAAGCAAATTACCATTTCCAATCTTCAACATATAATTTTTTACCCTTCAGAATGTTCTCTCTTTTTTGCTTTGCTGGATCATATCCAATATCTCTTCTAAGACCTGGCTCACAATATTTTGAGAAGCCTTCCATTCATTCATTCTCCATATGCTGAGTGGCTGGGCCTTCCACATTAACTATGTTCCTTCAGCAATCAGGTACCCCATTTGCTCTACTTTTGTACATATTTCATGTTTTACATAGGTATTTTCAAGCTATTTTATTCTGCCTCCCAATTCAACACTGAAGCAGTGACCCTCTTTTCTTTCATCATCTATCCTGTATTATTGTCCCAATAATAGTAATAGGCTACTATAGTAGTAATCTGTACTCTCTTAATTCTCATAGAATTTTGCAAAGTGTTAATATTCCTGGATCAACTCTGCAGACATAGAAACTGAAGTTCAAAGAGGTCAAGTAAGTCATCCCAAGGAAGGATGGATCCAAGATCTAGCCTTAATGTAGAATATTAAGTAAGGGCTTATTGACGGTTGGGAAAGAGGTTCTGAGGGAGAAGGATCCCAATCAATGCTGACAAATACACAAAACCAGTACTTTTTGGTGGCGTGGTCCATCTGCGGGGCGTGTTTTTTAGTTTTATACGGTTTTGTTTCATTTGGAAGGAGAGGTTATGCCCTCCAAGCCTTTATCATTTCACTCACCTCTCTCAACCTGGCCCTGTCCAGCCCCTTTCTGGAGGATCGACGTCGGGAGGCTGGAGGACAAACGCTGTCCAGACAGCTGATGACCTCGGAGGCAGAACCGCAGCCTCTAGCCGCTCCGCTAACCGCGACAGATTGACGCGGTTGGACCGCGCCATTCCCGAAGCGAGAAGGGGTGCCTTCTTGGCATAGTCCTTTAAGGTGAATAGGAGAACGATAGTGACGGTGGCTGTCTTCTCCGCCCGCCCTATTTTTCTCCTCTCCCCGCCGCGCCCCAGCGTCTATTCCACGGCCTGATTTACTAAGGGAGTTGTGTGGAATACAGAAGAGGGAAAAGCCACTAATTGCAATTACGGTAACTCGGTCGTTAACTCAAACGGGCTCATTTACATATAATTTGCACGTCACGTACCGATCGAAGTAAAGGGAATCCACGCCCCCCTGCCTGCCGGCTGCTCACTAGGCCCGGAGCCCTGGCCCCCATCCAGCAAATTTTACTTCGTTTTCTGTTCCTTAGCAGACGCTCTAAGCCGCTGAAGATTTGGCCTCTCCTTCCACCCGTAGGCCCCTCCTTCTGCGCTCTCCTCCCTCCGCAGTTTCTTAATGTCTCCTCCCCGCCCCCTTCTATTTTTAAACAGGCATGTTCCAGGCAGCTCACCCGACTCCTTAGATTACTGTAGGATCCATAGGGTCCTGAGCGTCGGAGAAGCCGGAAGACATATTCCTAGAGGGCTTCGACTCAGAAGAATAGAGCCCGGCTGGGGATTTTTTTTTTTCTATTTCTTACGGTCGTGGCTGTGTAGAGGAAGAGGATTGTGCAGCCGAGGCAAACTTGAGGCAGCGCGAAGGCCCCCTCAGGCGGCGCCGAGGGCAGCCCCTTCGCCGGGGCCTGGTGCCTCCGCCGCGGCCGCTGTCAGGGAAGCGCAGGAGGCCAATGGATTTAGGGAGCAGCCGCTGCTGCTGAGGCGGCGGTGTCGGTAGCCCGACCCCGACCGCCCGCACCCCGTCCGTGGGGGCCCCCCGGAGGTAAGCGACTCCTACGCCGTGAGGTTCCCAAGCCCTATGTATGTGGGAGCGTCCTTCTCCCAGCCTGTCCCGCACAGCCTCGCCCCATCACCACAGCTGGTGTCCACTACAAAACTGCCCTCCCGGTGGCAGCTGCACCACGGGTCCCTTCACCCTTTCCTCTCAACCCTAGGGTCCTCCTCTGTTTTTTGGCTTCCTCTTCTGTTTAGCTCCTCCCTCTGCCCTGGGGACTCCCCCCTACCTCCCTCTTATCCCTGTGGCCTCCGTCCCGAATTATTGTCTAAGTCTTGAACCTCTCCACATCAGGACGCCTTTTATAATGCCCAGTCTTGTCTGTCCTTCCTCGTCGTCTGAGTTCCTGTCCCAAACCTTTCCCATAGTCTCCGTCTTTATCCCTTTTCCTGTCTTGCCCCTTTCCTCCGTTGTCTCTGTGCTGGGTTCCCATTATCCTGAGCGTGGCCCTTTTTTCCTCTGATGTTGATTCCATTATCTCACCGCCACCCACCCATTCCTGGCTTCCAAGAATTGCCTATTCCCCGCTCCTTAAGGAATCATCATTCCCCAAGTAATCCATATCCTTCTTCGCTGGAGTCCCTTATGATCCCTGTAACTTCTCTTTAGCTTCCCGTCCCTCCCCCAACCTCTAGGTTAGGTTTGTTTCTATAGAAAAAAATGACAGTGCCCCTCCCTCTTCAGGATTTCCAACTTTGACGCCTACTCCAAGTTTCAAGGATTTTGCTGATCCTTGTGATACTTGGTTGTTTTCCCTGTGGTCTTTTTATGTGTTCTCTGTCACACTATCTATACATGCCACTATTTCATGATCAGCTGAACTAAGAGTGTTAGGAGGAGGGGGAGCCTCAGGTTTTTCTGGACAGAAGGGTGTTTCTGAAAGATGGAGCAAGTAAGAAATCCCTATCAGATTACACTTTGTTGACTACACATGATCACCCACTATCAGGGAAGAATAGGCTTGCATGGAAACTGAAATAGGTTGTGAGAAATTTTGCTTCGGATTATTTAATTTTAGGCTTGTCTTAAAGAAAAGTGTTTTCCACCCTTCTCCAGATATAAGAGGAGTCAGCTTACTGTTTACTAGAACAGTTTTGGTTGATTCCATAACAGCATAGGCCTGGGGTGGTGGTGGAGAGTTAACTGGGAAAAGGAAAAAGCTTGTACATTCAGAATCATGACTTCTGGGTTCAGCCTGTAACTTCCTTACTTGACCTCTAGGGTGACCTTTTTGGGAAAATGGCCCACTCTATAGGCATTAGTGTAGTAATAGGCTAATAGCAGGATGTGGGTTGAGGGTGGGGGGAATTAAACTTGGGTTAACTTGTTTACAAAACATTCTGGGTTCCTCAGACAAAAGTATTTTTTAATAGTGATTTAGTTGTCCTGAGAATTTTCCTTCATCTTGGTCTCTCTGCTGGGTCTTTCTAGTCTACAACCATGGGAGTAAGTCAGTTTGAAAGACAAGCTCCAGACCTGTTTCTTTGCCTTGCTTTTTTCCCCACTGCATTAAGTTCCTGACCACCTGTGCTGTTCCTCTTGTACTTGATCCCTAACTCCCAGATTCTATAGGTGGAAAATTTGTTTGTAGGAAAGCCCTTTGAGGAAGCTGGCTGGAAAAGAGAACTTGGAGTTGGGAAACTAGTTGCTGTCTTTTACACCATGTCTTTCTTTTAGCCCGTGTTAATGAAGAATGCTTGTGAAGTTTCATTCATCTTCTTACTCTAGGCCTGTTCAAAAGTAATCATGCAATTTTATCCCACTTCTCCCTCTTCTCCTTCCTTGTTTGCTAGCCAGAGTGCAATCTCCTCATAATCCCCCTTTTTAGGAGCAGCTTCACTCCTTGGAAGCAAATCTAAAGAGAAATCATTTCTCCTAGTTTCTCTGCTTTCTTCTCAGCTGGGTCCACACTGCATAAGAACATGTTTGCTGAACACCATCCAAAGCAGCAAATTGAGATCCTTTGATTTGGGGAAGAAGTTTGGGAGGAACCTCTCAGTAATTGACATGAGGTGAGCGACCCAGTTCAAGCACATTTGGGGCATGCAGCAGGGAGGAATAGTTCAGGGAGAGGTGAGCAAACAGGTTGCTTTCTCTGCCATCTGTCAGTTTCACCAGGGGCTCCCACAGCTGGCTTGGGCTGTCTGGCTGGAATCTGCTTATACCAGCCCCATGGGTTTGCACCAAGAATTCTCAGCCTGATTCAATATTGACTTAACTACCCTGAGACCACTGTCCTCCCTACCCTTTTCTCTAGTAGCTTGAGAAATGCCCTCTCCCCTGATGCTCCCCCATTCCCTGCCCCAGTTTTGGGTAAGTATTTATCTGTTTCTTGCTAGGCCTTGAACCTGCTTGACTGCTTAGCCCTGGGGTTCTTCTAGAAGAAAAAGTAGTTCTCAATCTCCACCTCAGCCACTGAGTTAGATCTTAAGACATGAGGAAGAACTTCTCAACAGCAGAACAGGCAGCCTGCCATGATGGGGAGTCTCTTGAAAAGCAGCATCTTTTTTAAAATTATTATTAGAGTCATATGTGCACTTGATAACAAATCCAATGGTACTTAAGGATTTATGATGAAAATCAAGTCCCTTTCCATTCATCCTTACTCAACTCCTACAGAGTTAGCCTCTTAATTACCTCAGTGTTTATTTCTGAAGGTTATCACAATAGCTTTAGATAAAATTCTTGTGCCTCTATTTATTGACTTACTGTTACAAAAGAGGATTTAGCTTTTAGAAGATTTACACCTCTTGTTTATATCATTTTTATTTCCACTGGAAGCCTGTGGAACTTTAAATAACATATTTGAACCTCCCTTTCTTTTCCATTAACTTTTAAACAGTCTCTCTTAACTACCTACCTTGTAGAATAAAGATACACTATCCTTTTTTCCACTTCACAAGATCCATCTGAAAGGGGTCTTTTAAAAGGAGGAAGAAAATTGAGCTCCCCTGTCTGCTTGGAGGCACTAAATCAGATATCTGTTAAAGGCCATTCATTCTACAGAAATACAGGAACATATAAAAACATGATCAGTCTGAACTAGTCCATATTTATCTACCCCATGGAAAAGGATTCAGAGAAGGGAATGGTGATTAATTGGTCAAGGGGATTGATTTGTGCCTCTTTGCCATCTTGTCCTAGCCAAGTCTAATCCAGTAAGTCCTTCAGTGAAGGCCAGTGAAAGATTGTTTGCCTAGAATCTTTGAAGATGATAAATGGGAAGCCAGGTCAAGTGATAGCATCCCTTCCCTCCAAAGTTCTCTTGCAGACATTTATTTAAATGCTCAGTCACACAGAACACATACATGTATACCCTCTCTGTCCTCTACAGCTGCTGCTGTGCTCTGCCTTGCCCTGAACAACCCCCTGATGCTCAGAGGAGAATTCCCTACATTGCCCAGACATAAGCTGTGGAGCCCACTCAATCGGCAGCACTCCCCCATTCCGCTGTCTCTTCCTGGAAGCCAGCTGCTAGGCTGGAGCAGAGAAGGCCTCTGGTTCCCTTCCAGTGTAACTGGAAGTCCAGTTTAGGCTCCAGTGTGAAATGTGGAGCTTCAGTTATTTGAAGGTCCTTGAGGGCCAGAGGAGTCATTTGATATTAAAAGTTTGGCTTTTCTTCTCTCACTTCTCTTGTTCTCTGACTTAAAACAGGAAGAGTGATGAATATAGGATCTGCTCCTTCCTTTTCTCTCTTACTTTCTAGGCCTTTCACTTTATTAGAATGGTTTACTTATCAAAGTAGTATTTTCTTTGCATCTGAAAATTAATTGATGTTTAGGAGCATTTCTGGATTTAGGTTTTAGAGAATCCCATTCCTGTTTCTTGTCTAAATTGCCAAGACAGCCTAAATTCCTTTCAACACCTCCTTCCCCCAATGGCTTGCTTCAGCTGTAGGCAGTCTCAGAGGCTCAGAGAGGCCAAGGGAGGCCCAGCTCCAGTTTGGTAGTTTCTAGTGGCAGAGCTGCCTATATAAGAGAGGAGTCTGGTTTTCCTGCACCTCTTGACAATGTCTTATTTCGCAGGGAGGAAAGGCTGCCAAATGGGGACTCTGTTCAGTGGGTAAGCCCCCTGAATACTCTACTGTGGAATTCCTAGCTGTGCCCTGGTATAAAAGAAATAATAGTATCCTTACCTCCCTTCCTGGTGCCAGTCATAATCCCAGTTGTGATCAGTTGAGGCAGGCATCTGCATTTCCTAGTGAGATCTGAGATGCTGTATATGGGGGAATGTTGGAACGCCATTTCCTTGGAAGTTTTGAATGGTGGATTTTTAGGAGCTTTTAGTGAATTAGGAATCTCTGGAAAAGAGGGAAAGAAAAAGATGGGCCAAGCATAGAGACATTGAGGAAAAAAAATAAGTTGGTTTTATGAAACAATTGAAGCTGTCATGTGAATTTTTTATTTTGGTATCATTAATCTACAGTTACATGAAGAACATTATGTTTACTAGACTCCCCCCATCACCAAGTCCCCCACCACAAACCCCATTACAATCACTGTCCATCAGCATAGTAAGATGCTGTAGAATCACTATTTGTCTTCTCTGTGCTATGCAGCCCTCCCTATGCCCCCTGTCAACATTCTACATGCCAATCATAATGCCCCCTTTCTTTCCCCCACCCCTTATCCCTCCCTTCCCACCCATCCTTCCCAGTCCCTTTCCCTTTGGTAACTGTTAGTCCATTCTTGGGTTCTGTGAGTCTGCTCCTGTTTTATTCCTTCAGTTTTTTCTTTGTTCTTATACTCCACAGACGAGTGAAATCATTTGGTACTCGTATTTCTCCACCTGGCTTATTTCACTGAACATAATACCCAACTCCATCCATGTTGTTGCAAATGGTAGGATTTGTTTTCTTCTTATGGCTGAATAAAATTCCATTATGTATATGTACCACATCTTCTTTATCCATTCATCTATTGATGGACACTTAGGTTGCTTCCATTTCATGGCTATTGTAAATAGTGCTGCAATAAACGTAGGGGTACATATGTCTTTTTCAAACTGGGCTGCTGCATTCTTAAGGTAAATCCCTAGAAGTGGAATTCCTGGGTCAAATGGTATTTCTATTTTGAGCTTTTTGAGGAACCTCCATACTGCTTTCCACAATGGTTGAACTAGTTTACATTCCCACCAGCAGTGTAGGAGTTCCCCTTTCTCCACAACCTCGCCAACATTTGTTGTTGTTTGTCTTTCGGATGGTGACAGTCCTTACTAGTGTGAGGTGATATCTCATTGTGGTTTTAATTTGCATTTCTCTGATGACTAGTGATGTGGAGCATCTTTTCATGTATCTCTTGGCCATCTGAGTTTCTTCTTTGGAGAACTGTCTCTTCAGCTCCTCTGCCCATTTTTTAATTGGATTATTTGCTTTTTGTTTGTTGAGGTGCGTGAGCTCTTTATATCTTTTGGATGGCAACCCTTTATCGGATCTGTCATTTATGAATATATCCTCCCATACTGTAGGATGTCTTTTTGTTCTATTGGTGGTGTCCTTTGCTGTACAGAAGCTTTTCAGCTTGGCATAGTCCCACTTGTTCATTTTTGCTTTTGTTTCCCTTGCCCAGGAAGATATGTTCATGAAGAGGTTGCTCATGGTTATGTCCAAGAGATTTTTGCCTATGTTTTTTTCTAAGATATTCTAGTAGTTTGGGAGTGGAGTCTTTAGGGTTTTTTATGTACAATATCATGTCATCTGCAAATAGTGACAGTTTGACTTCTTTATCAATCTGGATGTTTTGTATTTCTTTGTTTTGTCTGATTGCCATGGCTAGGACCTCCAGTACTATGTTGAATAACAGTGGGGAGAGTGGGCATCCCTGTCTTGTTCCCGATGTTAGAGGAAAAGCTTTCAGCTTCTGGCTGTTAAGTATGATGTTGGCTGTGGGTTTGTCATATATGGCCTTTATTATGTTGAGGTACTTGCCCTCTATACCTATTTTCTTCAGAGTTTTTATCATGAATGGATGTTGAATTTTGTTGAATGCTTTTTCAGCGTCTATGGAGATGATCATTTGGTTTTTGTCCTTCCTTTTGTTGATGTGGTGGATGATGTTGATGGATTTTCTAATGTTGTACCATCCATGCATCCCTGAGATGAATCCCACTTGGTCATGGTGTATGATCCTTTTGATGTATTTTTGAATTCGGTTTGCTCATATTTTGTTGAGTAGTTTTGCATCTATGTTCGTCAGGGATATTGGTCTGTAATTTTTCTTTTTTTGTGGGGTCTTTGCCTGGTTTTGGTATTAGAGTGATGCTGGCTTCATAGAATGAGTTTGGAAGTATTCCCTCCTCTTCTATTTTTTGGAAAACTTTAAGGAGAATGGGTATTATGTCTTGTCTGTATGTCTGATGAAATTCCACAGTAAATCCATCTGGCCCAGGAGTCTTGCTCTTGGGTAGTTTTTTGATTACCGATTCAATTTCGTTGCTGGTAACTGGTTTGTTTAGATTTTCTGTTTCTTCCTTGGTCAGTCTTGGAAGGTTGTATTTTCCTAGGAAGTTGTCCATTTCTTCTAGGTTTTCCAGCTTGTTAGCATATAGATTCTCATACTATTCTCTGATTCTTTGTATTTCTGTGGGGTCCGTCATGATTTTTCAGTTCTCGTTTCTGATTTTGTTGATGTGTGTAGATTCTCTTTTTCTCTTAATAAGTCTGGCTAGGGGCTTATCTATTTTGTTTATTTTCTCAAAGAACCCACTCTTGGTTTCATTGATTTTTTCTATTGTTTTATTCTTCTCAATTTTATTTATTTCTTCTCTCATCTTTATTATGTCCCTCCTTCTGCTGACTTTGGGCCTCATTTGTTCTTCTTTTTCCAATTTCAGTAACTGTGACTTTAGACTGTTCATTTGGGATTGTTCTTCCTTCTTTAAATATGCCTGATTGCTATATACTTTCCTCTTTGAACTGCCTTTGCTGTGTCCCACAGAAGTTGGGGCTTTGTGCTGTTGTTGTCATTTGTCTCCATATATTGCTTGGTCTCTATATTATTTTGGTCATTGATCCATTGATTATTTAGGAGCATGTTGTTAAACCTCCACGTGTTTGTGAGCCTTTTTGTTTCTTTGTACAATTTATTTCTAGTTTTATACCTTTGTGGTCTGAGAAGTTGGTTGGTAAAATTTCAGTCTTTTGGAATTTACTGAGGCTCTTTTTGTGGGCTAGTATGTGGTCTATTCTGGAAAATGTTCCATGTGCACTTGAGAAGAATGTGTTTCCCGCTGCTTTTGGGTGGTAGAGTTCTGTAGATGTCTGTTAGGTGTGTTGTTCAGTGCCTCTGTGTCCTTATTTTCTGTCTGTTGGATCTGTCCTTTGGAGTAAGTGGTTTGTTGAAGTCTCCTAAAATGAATGCATTGCATTCTGTTTCCTCCTTTACTTCTGTTAGTATTTGTTTCACATATGTTGGTGCCCCTGTGTTGGGTGCATAGATATTTATAATGGTTATATCCTCTTGTTGGACTGCCCCCTTTATCATTATGTAATGTCCTTCTTTATCTCTTGTTACTTTCTTTGTTTTGAAGTCTATTTTGTCTGATACAAGTACTGCAACACCTGCTTTTTTCTCCCTATCGTTTGCATGAAATATCTTTTTCCATCCCTTAACTTTTAGTCTGTGTATGTCTGGGTTTGATGTGGGTCTCTTGTAAGCAGCATATAGATGGGTCTTGCTTTTTTTATCCATTCTATTACTCTGTGTCTTTTGATTGGTGCATTCAGTCCATTTACATTTAGGGTGATTATTGAAAGATATGTACTGAATGCCATTGCAGGCTTTAGATTCGTGGTTACCAAAGGTTCAAGGGTAGCTTCTTTAATATCTAAGTGTCTAACTTAACTCGCTTATTAAGCTATTATGAACACAGTCTGATGATTCTTTATTTCTCTCCCTTCTTATTCCTCCTCCTCCATTCTTTATATGCTTTTGTGTTTCCTTTGACTGCTTTTGCGAGTAGTTGATTTTATTTTTTGCCTTTAGTTAGTATTTGGTTGGTCTGCTTTCTTTGCTGTGATTTTATTTTCTCTGGAGACATCTATTTAGCCTTAGGAGTGCCTCCATCTAGAGCAGTCCCTTTAAAATATCCTGTAGAGGTTGTTTGTGGGAGGCAGATTCCCTCAACTTTTGCTTGTCTGGGAATTGTTTAATCCTTCCTTCATATTTTAATGATAATCGTGCTGGATACAGTATTCTTGGTTCAAGGCCCTTCTGTTTCATTGCATTAACTATATCATGTCATTCTCTTCTGGCCTGTAAGGTTTCTGTTGAGAAGTCTGATGATAGCCTGATGGGTTTTCCTTTGTAGGTGACCTTTTTTCTCTCTCTGGCTGCCTTTAATACTCTGTGTTGGGAGATCTGTGTGCTTCCGTGGTCTGAGTGACTATTTCCTCCCCCAGTTTGGGGAAGTTTTCAGGAATTATTTCTTCAAAGACTCTTTCTATCCCTTTTTCTCTCTCTTCTTCTTCTGGTACCCCTATAATGTGAATATTGTTCCGTTTGGCTTGGTCACACATTCTCTTAATATTCTTTCATTCCTGAAGATCCTTTTAACTCTCTCTGCGTCAGCTTCTCTGTGTTCCTGTCCTCTGATCTCTATTCCATTAACGGCCTCTTGCACCTCATCCAATCTGCTCTTAAGTCCTTCCAGAGATTCTTTTATTTCTGTATTCTCCCTCCTAACTTGATCCTTTAGCTCTTGCATATTTCTCTGCAGGTCCATCAACATGGTTATGACTTTCATTTTGAATTCTTTTTCAGAAAGATTGGTTAAATCTATCTCCTCAGGCTCCCTCTCGGTGGTTTCTGGGTAATTCTTGACTGGATCAAATTCTTCTGCCTTTTTATGGCAATAGAGGTAATTGTAGGCAGTTGGTGCATGTGTCAGCTGGGAGAGCAACATCCCTTCCTGCACCTTGCCCTTCTTCGCTGCCTGTGCCAGTTACCCACACACGGGGAGCAGCTTCCAGTTTTATTTTCTGAGCCGCCGCAGGTGGGGCAGCTGTCGGGACAGCCCAGAGCCCCACGGGGAGAGGCAGGCGCACTGGGTGTGCTCTCCTGTGAGAACGGCGACCCTTCCTGCCCTGTCCCAGCTTCCTCTGTCTATGCTGGGCTGCTGCTGCACACTGGCGGGGCGTCTGAGTCTGGCCCGGGCGACTGCGAAGGAGGCTCTGGCTGGCCACTGCGGGCACAGCTGCTCTCATGCTGCTCCCTGCTGTGGTGGGGCCGTTTGGGAGGGGGAACGGAGGGGAGGCTGTTTATTGCCATGAGGAGGTTCAGAGCTGTGTTGCTTCCCAGGTGGCTGCAGCGCCTGAAATTCCCTGGGATTCCCAGCTGCTAGGCTGAGTGCACTGGGATAGTTCCATCCAGCTGTGAAGCCTCTGTCTCTTTAAGACTTTCAAAAAGCAGTTGCTTTTCTTTTGTCCCAAGGGCGCTGGCTGCAGGGACCCACTCGCAGGTTTTACTGTTCCGTTTCCTTAATATCCAGCACACCATGCACTGTGTGTCTGCGCTACCGGTGCGGATGACTAGGGCTGGTTATTTAGCAGTCCTGTGCTCCCTCTCCCTTCCCGCTCCGACTCCTTTCCTCCCGCCAGGGAGCTGGGGTGGGGGGAGCACTCGGGTCCCGCCGGGCCACAGCTTGTATCTTACCCCCTCCGTGAGGTGCTGAGTTCTCGGAGATGTAGATGTAGCCTGACTGTTGTGCTGTATCTTCTGGCCTCTCTTTCAGGAATAGTTGTATTTTCAAAAATACATATGATTTTGGGAGGAGATTTCCGCTGCCCTACTCACGCCACCATCTTGGCTCCTCCCTCCTGACCATCTATCCATGTGAATATTTAAGCAGACCTAAAAGGTAGTGGTCTCAGCTAAATTAGAATGACACTGTGGTGCAAAGTGCCCTCCAAAGGTGTCAGAGAATGAATAAAAACTTTCTTTTTATTATTCCTGTGCAACCCATAGTTGCAAGTAGAGACAGACATACTCATGCAGCCATGCTGTTTATACTGCTCAGGGCACTGCCTAGATTCGGGAGAGAGCACAGTGAAAGAGTTTCTACCTTTTTACTGATACTAAGCTCAAGCTGCATCAGTGAACTTAAATTGAGAGATGAACTTCTTGCTTGACAGAGTTGGGAGAAAGATAAACTGAAGTAGTCTTTTTTGGTGATCTCCAAGAACAGAAGAGTTCCCCATCTGTCTTCCTGCAAGACTTTAGTTTTGACTGCTTGGAGGCAGGGAACTAGACTACGAAATATTGAGCAGATCAAAGTTACCTTGACTCTTAACATTTTAGAGGTGCAAGAAGAGGCACTGGAAACAGGTGGTGGTGGGAAACAGAGCTTCCCAGAGTGATTAGAGAATCTGTATCTCCAGCCTCTTATACATACCTAAAGTATATGTACCCAGTTTCCCTACTGTCAAAGGTGATATCATTAATAGTTTGAAATTACCTGCATTCCAGCTCTACAATAGACTCTGCTTTTCTCTTGCTACACTCTTGAGTGTCTTCGACTCACTCTATTTACGATTTTATAAAGAGGCCTCTGAACCCATTGCTGACAAGGGCTGGAACTGGGTTGATCTGACATTAACAGTGTGCCTCTCCCAGTCCTTGCTTTGAAATTTCTTCCGTTCTGCACTGATCCTGCTGGTCTGGATTTGCAGAGGCTCTGAAGAATCATTTTAGAAGGGCAGTGGCTTTTGTCAGCAGTATTCCATCACTGAATTTCCTTTCAAGAGTCTCTCCAGAGAGGGATTCTTGGCAATGTGATCCCTGTTCCTCCCTGTTCTTTGGACATTCTAGACCCATGAGTTGTGGCTTGATTTCTTTTTGCCTTCTCACAGTCACTCCAGTTCTTGGAGTGTGTGTATGATAATGGAAAAAGTAGTGTTAGGGATAGGAGAGGGCTCTGTCACACAATGAATGTAACTGTGATTCACTTACCTTATAAACAGTATATGTGTGTGCACACACACTTGTATACAGTTTGCTAACCTTTTTAGGTGATTGAGATTCAACTAGCATTATTGAGTACTACTGTGTGCCAGGATTGTTCTGGGTGCTTGTACATGAAGTTAGTTATTCCACTCAGCAACAGTGAGAAGTAGGTATTTTCCCATTTTGCAGTTGAAGAAAATTAAACTCAGAAGATATGTGCTTTGCATAAGTTTATACATCTCATAATGGCAAAGCCAGGATTTTGAATCCCAGCCTATTTGACTCCAAATTCAAGAGTCTTTTCCACTTCCATACTTCAGCTGCCACAGCACTGGAGGAAGAGGGAATGATGTTAAGAAGTCAGACAAGCAAAGTGTCGTACTTCAGCAGGGTTTATCATAGTTGTTTTAGAGCTGTTTTCTTCTAAATGAAGCCTGGATTTATTTGCTGGCCCTTATTCCTTGGGAGCTTTGAGACTAAAAGGGAAGGTAAGTATCTGTAACTAGAAAAATACATCAAGTTTTTAGTATTAAATAAAATTGAAATGCTTAGGACTTGTGTATAGAGTATTATATGTGTAAGGAAATACAGTTTAAAGAGGAAAAGGAAAATGTTATTGGCAAACATTTAAAGGTGGGCATGGGAAAAGTATACCTATATAAACATAACACATACAAAGCAACATTTTGCAAATACAAGTTAGGAACAGAGGCTAAGCTGAGTAACCATTGCAGAAGGAATGAAGAGTAATGTAGTGATCAGAAGTGGAGGTAGTCAGAGAAAGCTTCCTGGGAGGAGATGACTTTTCATATGATTTTTAAGAAGTCCGGGAAGACAGTATGGAGGAGGTCCCTGGGAAGGTTCTGTGGCAAAGGGAAGACCTGAGAGTGGCGCTGCTAACCAGTGTTTGTATGTCTCCCTTTCTGTTCTTTCTCCCTCCTTCCTCTTGTAGCTTGAAAGCTCCAAGTGTGGCTGTGGCCATGGGAGACATGGTAGTGGAGCCTGCCCTCCTGAAGCCAACTTCTGAGCCCACTCCTGGCCCACCAGGGAATAATGGGGGCTCCTTGCTAAGTGTCATCACGGAGGGGGTCGGGGAACTCTCAGTGATTGACCCTGAGGTGGCCCAGAAGGCCTGCCAGGAGGTATTGGAGAAAGTCAAGCTTTTGCATGGAGGTGTGGCCATCTCTAGCAGAGGCACCCCGCTGGAGTTGGTCAATGGGGATGGTCTGGACAGTGAGATCCGTTGCCTGGACGATCCTCCTGCCCAGATAAGGGAGGAGGAAGATGAAATGGGAGCCACTGTGGCCTCGGGCACAGCCCGGGGAGCAAGGCGGCGGCAGAATAACTCAGCCAAACAGTCGTGGCTGCTGAGGCTGTTTGAGTCCAAACTCTTTGACATCTCCATGGCCATCTCATACCTGTACAACTCCAAGGAGCCTGGAGTGCAAGCCTACATTGGCAACCGGCTATTCTGCTTTCGCAATGAGGATGTGGACTTCTATCTGCCTCAGTTGCTTAACATGTACATTCACATGGATGAGGACGTGGGTGATGCCATCAAGCCCTACATAGTCCACCGTTGCCGCCAGAGCATTAACTTTTCCCTCCAGTGTGCCCTGTTGCTAGGAGCCTACTCTTCAGACATGCACATTTCCACTCAACGACACTCCCGTGGAACCAAGCTGCGGAAGCTGATCCTCTCAGACGAGCTGAAGCCAGCTCACCGAAAGAGGGAGCTGCCCTCCTTGAGCCCAGCCCCTGACACAGGGCTGTCTCCCTCTAAAAGGACTCACCAGCGCTCTAAGTCAGATGCAACAGCCAGCATAAGTCTCAGCAGCAACCTGAAACGAACAGCCAGCAATCCTAAAGTGGAGAATGAGGATGAGGTAAAAAATTCCTGGGAGGGACAAAGGGGCAAGGGGCCATGGAGACAGGATATCTGACATACTCTGTCCTTTTCTCTCCTCCCCTCTGTTTTCATTTCACTGATAAAAACATGGAACGTCAGAATGGAACAAGTCCTGAGTATTCATGTATTCCAACAGCCTCATTTTCTAAAGGAAGAACCCAAAGAGATGAAGGGACTTGCTTCGGTCATGTAGCCAATACAGTAACTAGGCCAGTACTCCTGACTCTGGCCCAAGTGGTTCTTTACTGAGAACCATGGCAAAGACCCTCCCTGCCTTGGCCTGAGACAAGGGGTATCTTCAAGAACCTCTCAAAGCAGCAGCCTTTGAAAAGGAGAAGGGTGAATGTGTATGTGAATTTTGTGTGTGCTGGCAGAGCTGAGATGTTAAATAGCTTCATTCAGCTTCATTCTCCTGGCCCCTCCTCATAATCCCTCTCCTTCACACCCTGAAGACCCTGCTTTTTGTTGACATAAGGGTTAGGGTTCATCCCCTATCACTGAGGCATCTGCAGAATGTTCTGCCTGCCTGCCTTTCCTTGGGGGAAGAGATGTTCTTGCTGGTCTCTTTTCCATATCACGTGGGAGAAGCACAAAGGAAAGAAGGAAGCAAATTCAGTTCAGAGTAAATCTGGAGCATACCCAGTGTCTAGTCAAGGACCTGAAGGCTAGAAAGAAGGGAAAACTACAATAGCAGTTGAAGGTATCCAATTCAGGATGCAGAGCAGGAAGGGGATCAGTAGGTTATACCCACTGTCCGTCCCACATCTGGACAGATAGCAGGGGAAGTTACCCAGTGGACAACCAAAGGTCAGTGGCCTGCTGTTTTGGCCAGCTAGTAGTGCCCCAGTCCCACCTCTCACCACCAGCCCAGCTCCTGGCCACCAGCCCAGCCTAGGAAAGAAGGGAGAAAAGAACAAGGAATTTGCACTTGTTGGAAAATGCATGTAGCTATGGTGCTGGCATCTGCCTCTGCAGGGCACATAAGCCTCCCACATTTTTTATACAATGGGACTTTCTTTCAACTAGAGAGAGGTCAGGGTGACCAGAGAAGGGAAAAGTCAGGAGGGAGGGAGACTACAGAGCCTGCTCTCTCTGGAGGTTCAGTATTTTTTCATGGTAATTTAATAATAGTGAAGCTAAAAGAACTAACATTTATTGAGCATTTATTATGCACCAAGCATCATATCAAGTATTTCACATTTAATCTTCACAACAACCCTAAGATACAACAACCAAAAGATGATTTTGCCATTGAGGAAACAGGCTTAGAGAGGTTAGATGAGTTACCCGAGGTCTCTCAGCTGGTAAATGTCAGACCAGCCCTCAGATCATAGCTGGCACCCCTAATCATTCAGCTGAGCTGTCTTGGTTATTTCTCAGCATCTACTTTCCCAAGTCCTCAGCTGTTGGAGTCCATTTGTGGAAGAATGGCCTTGGTCTTAGCAATCTAGGTTTGCACATCTGTGTACAGGCAGAGCCCAGCTGTTCTCAGAGCCAGAATGGGCCATTTTTGTTTCTGGTTGAGCTTAGCAGCCAAGGGTCATTGAAGGGAGGTTGTTGCAGAGCAAGAAGAATCATCCAAATCTGGTGAGACTGAGGTCACAAAGGCTTTAGGAGTTCCTTTTCTTGTGGTCAAGCCTGTAGCATGAGTATGAGCAGCTGGAAGTGAATCCCTTGGTGCTTGTTATCAGGCTTGGCTTTTCTCTTGTATTCATTTTGTAGTCCTCTTCTTAGCACCAGAAGAGATGAAGCCTCAGGACTTTTCTTACTCTGTGCTGGTCCTTGGTCCCTCTTCCTTACATCTAATCCCTGCCCAGGAAGGGTTATGGGATGCAGGCATTTCTGTGAGTACTTAAAATCCTCTAGGGTGGCTTCTCTAGCTGTCATTCTTCCCAAGCTGGCTCCTTTACCTTGAGTCACTGGATTCAGGAAAGGAAGGAGATACCATGTCCCCAGGCACTCCTAGGTTAGCTGATGCTGGCAGAGTTAAGACATGGTGAATCTGCTGCGCCTCCTCAGAAAATGTGAGAACAAGAGTAAGAAAGAATAAATATAAATTCACTAGGAGGCCAGGCATCGGAGCTTTCAGCCCAGAGGTCTCTCCAAACCCCTCTGGCATTTTGAGGATACATTTCTTAAGGCCTTTGTCCCCCAGATACCAAGGGAATCACTTTTTTTCCTCTTTTGCTCCCCCTACTCCCTTGTCATGCAGCACTCATTCACTCAGCAAATAGTTACTGCACTGTGCAAAGCCCTGTGTTAGGGGCAGTGGAGGATGAAGGGTGACTTAAAAGGTGATATGGAGACCCCATTTTCTGGGACACTTTAGTTTGTCACTCTTGGTTTTTGTATCCTGAAACTTGACTGAATTTATTAGTTCCAACAGTTTTTTGGTGGTGTTTGTGTCTCTCTTTTCCTGCATATAACAAGAAAAGCTTCCCACTTACTAAAACAAAGCCCATTATTATCTAAGGTCTGAGCAGAGACTTTCTAGGTGGGACCTGACACACTGCTCCCCATCTCTTTCTTTTCCTGTAGGTTTTGAGTTTAATCCTCCATTCCTACCACCAGTTGAGAAACTTTGGAGGGTGAAGTGAGGCCTCAGAGAAGAGGCTCAAAGGCCTCTTTCTGCCTGGGTCTCCCTGCAGAGTTCTCTGCCCAGCTCTCACAGAAGGTTCTATTTTCTTTTAATGAGGCATCCTTTACACTCTCCCTTACAATCAAAGGGCCGTAGCACTGATTGCTCCCATCTCCCACCATTTCCACCCCAAAGCCCACCCCTTCAAAGCAACTGTTATCAGCCTGGTCAAGGAATTCTGCTCATGTAGTTTTCCTTCCCATTTGTAATCAAATGGTAAATAAATACTTTGGCATAGGTTGGGGGCACAGAGAGCAACGAGTGATTTAGGTACCGTCCACAGAATGATACTTGTAGTAAATCAGCTTTGTCTTCTCAGAACTTCAGCCTTTGTACAGAGAAATCTGTGGCATGTCCCACTAGAAGCCCCAGTAGTCTTTCAAGCCTGATAGGGTGTCATGTCAGCTTCATGGCCTCAACTTTTCCCCTTGGAGCTGAGTCAGTATGAGTGACTCAAGCCTACAGAGGAGGAGAGACGAGCAGGTCATAGTATACCTTCCCTTCCCCCAAGACTGTAAATGAGGCAGAGAGGACCTGTCTGTGGAAGAATCAGCTGGAGCATTGCTCCTGGAGCTGATATCCTGCTTGCTGTTCCTTCCCCAACCAGCTCATGTGTGGGCCTTGAACTATACTAGGTCATAATGGACACTGGCACCCTCACTACTTCAATGTCCCTCCCATTTCTACCCAGTGCAGAAGAGCCTTGGGATAGTATTTGGCTTGGCTTCCTCAAAGTGTCCCTCTCCCCAGATTCTTCAGGGAAGGACCTGAGTGTAATACCTCCAGCTAGAATAGAACTTACACCACGACATTGAATTAAGTAGATACTTGACATGCTGATTGCATGTATAAGAGCAGCAACTACTGCTCTTCTGCCCTAGATGCTCCCAGGACTTTGTCTCTTTAAGTCCAGGCCCCTCCCTTCCTAGAGGTTTGTACACACTGGTGCCCTTTCTTCCTGCCCTGGGAGGCCATGGGGGGCAGAACCCAGGATGGGCCTGTGCACCAGCTGCAGCAGAGCTGCTGAGGGAGAGCATGACCACCAGAGCTTTCCCCTGTTCTGTTCACAGACACCAGGGAACACAGGAGTGGGGTGAGGTTAAGATAAATCCCATGGGCTGGGGCTAGGACAGCTGCTGCTCAACTACTCAGCTTTCTCAGATGGACTCATCTAGGACCTAACTCCCTTATGTCAAAAAATTGTAATTTATTGGGTGTCATGTGAAATAGTCTGAAAGCAAGCCCACAGAGGTTTGGTAGAGAGAAGAGTTATTTGTCCTTTACTCCCAGCAGTATCTGGCACAGAGGTCTGATGCTCATGAGTCTGTGGTGCCCCTTGTCACATGATTGAAGGTCAGGATTAGGCTTCCCAGGGCAATAACTGAGGCTGAATAGAGTGGAGATGCACCTGGCATGGCATACAAAGTTTAGCTCTTCTGCTTCCACACATTTCCAAGATGATGGAGGGATGTGAGGCTTCCAGTATGGGGGCCATGCAACTTGTTAAATTCAGTTTTTCTGTGGTGCTCTCCACAGAGAAGGCTTTGGTTGAGAGCACGTGGGTGGATAAAGAGAAAGCAGGGATACTGGACAGTACAGAGCTACCTCCCTCAGGGACCCAGCCTTAGGGTTTTGTCCAAAAGACAGGCTTGGTGCAATCAAGAAGAGAAGAGAAGAAACTGAAAAGCAGAGGCCTCTGTTTCTTCCACCCTTCTGACCTCAAGGTCTGCGACAGTCTTCAAGCATCTCCCAAAGTGTCAAGAATTTAGACAAGTGACTTTTCTGGATTGACTTTCTTTCATTAAAGCATAAAGGTAGAGCTACACAAGAGAAGTGGTTATAATCCAAATTGGAGCTAAATTATTTGCCTTTGTCTCTCTCCCTCCATCCCCGCCCCTCCTTCTCCCCTTGCCCTATGGCCCTTTCCCAGGAGCTCTCCTCCAGCACCGAGAGTATTGATAATTCATTCAGTTCCGTAAGTGGGGCCAGGCTGGGGCTGGGTGGCAGGCTCCCCCCATGGCCGCATTTCCTCTCCGTCCCCAGGCCAAGGCTGGAGTTAAATGGTGCCTTTTCTTCCTGGGAAATCAGTCCCTGGCTCCCAGACCTGGAGGAGTACCCTGCCCTTTCTTGCCAGTGCCCTGAGCCCAGGCAGAGTAGAGTTCACTTGGTCCTTCTGGAGACAGCTGGGATGCCCTGAGACTCGGCCTCCAGTTGCTGGATCTCCAGAACAGACATCTGGGAGAGAGGTGAAATTTCCTCCTGGATTGGAGCCAAGAACCACTTGGCAGAAACCCCCAGGATCCTGTTTCTCCCTCCCAGAACCTTTTCCCCGTGGCTTCTGCCATCAGACCATCTAATATTTATTCTCTGTCTTCTAAAAGGTAGGCCCTGTGCTGGGGCTGACTCCAAAAGCAAACAGGATTTGGCCTAAGGAAAGTTACCTGCCCCTAGCTGGTTTTCTTTTGCTCTTCAACCGTGTTTCTTCCAGGTCTGAGCTCTTCCCTTTCCCAGCTCGCTGCCCAGAATGTTCCTTAATCCTCACTCTCCTTTCCTGTTCCCTCTGGACTAACCCCTGACCCTCTGGCCCCACAGGGTCTAGGGCCTTGTTGCTGGGCAGAGACGTGAGAGGAAATGCTGGACCCTTTGGAAGTTTGGATGATTTTTCTATGTTTTATTTTTAATTTGTCTACCCAATCAGCTTTCTCTTTTCTGTGCTGATTCCCTTGCAGTCATGATTCCTGTCTCCTCCCATGTGGCAGAGCCTTCCTCTCAAGGCTTGGGGTCACATTTCCACCATGCTCCTGTAACTTAGGGGTGCCCAACCCAAATGCTAATTTGAGGATGGGAAGGAATTCTGCCTTTTCTGATCTGAGATGACTGAGTTGGTTGGGGTGGAGGGTCCTTGGGGCAGTGAACATTTGTCATCTGAGTGGATGTACTTAGGCGATCAGGGCAAACAAAGGCTGAATCTCCAAATTTCTTCTTCCTTTCTTTCTCTATTAGGCCGTGGGACATCTCCAGGGACCACAGAACCCTAGTACTATTGTCTTCCTGTCTCTGTCTCTTTTCAACCCTGCCTTCCAGGGTTGAACCAACCCCTGACTGATTCAGACCCCCTGTATTATTTTTGTGTGAGGCCCTGAGCCAACCCCCTGTGGGATAGAGGCTGAGAGAGGCTTTGAGCTCTCTGTGCACATGCAGAGGTGGGCTGGTATTGCCTGGCTTTCAAAAAAAGCTCTTTTTTGCAGTGTGAGGGAGTGAGGGTAGAAATTCTCAATTCTCAGGAAATTGCGTGAGACACACACAGAGAAAAGCCTGGTGAGTGAAATACTATTTCTAGAAGAGGAGAAGATACTGCTCTTCTCTACCTGAGGGGAGATGGGATGGGGAGTTGGCTGGCTATCTTGATAAAATGCCCCTTTTGGTACAAGGACTTTGGGGAAAAAAGCCCTTCTTCATGTCTAGCTCAGTCCATTTTTTTCCCCACCTCTGCCTTACTCTGGAGACTGACTGTGCCCTTTCTGGGAATGACTGAGGAGCCCAGCACAAGGAGCCAAGTGCACGGCAGGCAACAGTACGGGAGCTTAGTCCCTGAGAGGTAGGGGAAGAGGACCCAAGGAGGAACCACTGAGAGAGGCAGGCCTTCAAAGCCAGCGTCATGGGCTGAAAGGAGCTGCTTTCTCGATCTGCCTACCTACCTACATCTACCTACCCTTCACCTGCTTTTTCTCTCCCCATTGATCGTTCCTCCATTAATGCAAAGTCTGCTCATCTTCTCATCCCCGGCATGTGCACTGACCCCTTCCTTATAAGAGAATAGGGTGGACAGGGGGATGCCATGGAAAGCAGCAAAAACCATTTGAATGGAATGACTCCTTATTTTGAAAGGGGAAATATTGACTCCAAGCTCCCCTCCCTGGCCTTGTAGGCTCTGACAGAGCCCCCCAGCAGAGTGTCGGCCAGGTGGGGAGAGGGACAACCCTGTTGTTGAGATGGGTGAAACACTTCAGGTATAAGCAGCTCTTCTCTCTGGGGCCCTGGCCAACCTCTTTGGATGTTGTCCCTGGCCCATCTTGAAGCCTTGGGATAGTTCCTGAGAAACTCAAGTCAAATTAAGAAGGGTGCTTCCCAATGACCTGGAGTCACGTTCCTCTTATCTTCAAGAAACAGCCTGTAGAAAAGGAATGTTTCCAATTCAAGCTGACAGGAATTGGGGGGCGGGGGCATCTCCTGCTAAGGCTGAAAGGTAGCTCCTTCCCTGGTGTTCTCCAGACACTGGATCTCTGGCCTGCATGGCCTGGAGTGACTGAGTGGGTGGGCCACCTTTTTCTATGGTTTCTTCACTATCTTTGCTTTACCCCAACCCCTTGTAGCCTGTCAGACTGGCTCCTGAGCGAGAATTCATCAAGTCCCTGATGGCAATTGGCAAGCGGCTGGCCACGCTCCCCACGAAGGAGCAGAAAACGCAGCGGCTGATCTCAGAGCTCTCCCTGCTCAACCATAAGCTCCCTGCCCGAGTCTGGCTGCCCACTGCTGGCTTTGAGCACCACGTGGTCCGTGTGCCCCACACCCAGGCTGTTGTTCTCAACTCCAAGGACAAGGTAGGTGGGTTGTGGCCCAAACCCTACCACTCAGCTGACTCTATACCATGATTGTCTGGGGTTTACATATATGCCCTGGAATGCCCCACCAAAATCCCAGACTCCTTCATAGTCCATGTACACCTGTCAACTTTGATCTACTTCAGTTCTGTTGTGATTCTAAAGACCTTGTCCCCTTCTCAGGCCTGTCTTTCTGGACCAAAGAGGCCTGATTTCAGCTTGCCTCTTGCCCTCTTAGTCACTCTCCCTTCCCCTCACAGATTTTGGTAGCTCTTCCTTAGCCGTTCTGTAACTCTTAGGCTTTCCAGGGACAGCAACAGTGAGAATAGAGAAATACTTTGTTTCTAAGACCTTTTTTGATCAGAGTGGGCAGGGAAAAGGATGCCCAATTCACATTGAAGAGAATTAGCTGAATTTATCTGCTGGTTGTAATGAGTACTGACAGATCAGATTCTTCTTCCAGAGAAAGTATGGACAATTAGAACCCTGCTTAGAACAGTGCCCAGCTTTTTCCCTTTCTGTCTGTCTTTAGGACAAGCCTCCAGAAGCTGACAGGCCTCTCTGATTAGTGTTAATCAACAGTTTGGAATGGTTTTGCCCTGGGGCATGCTTTATACTTTTTGAAGCTCAGCTGAGACATTTTGAAGACTTGGGTACTCTCTCACCCAAATTCTTCATATAGGTGTAGAGGACAAGTTCCTGCCCTAAACGTGGTGTTTATAGTGTCCAGGGACTGATTGATGAGGTTGGAGCTAGGACTGGGCAGCAGGAAAAGTTGTGTGAATGAAGCTAAGATGTGGGGGCAATGGTGAAGGTAAGCTGCAAATACTATCCACCCCTCAACCCAGGCTCCCTATCTGATCTATGTGGAAGTCCTTGAATGTGAGAACTTCGACACCGCCAGTGTCCCTGCCCGGATCCCCGAAAACCGCATTCGAAGCACACGGTCCGTGGAGAACCTGCCCGAGTGTGGTGTTAGCCATGAGCAGCGGGCAGGCAGCTTCAGCACAGTGCCCAACTGCGACAACGACGATGAGGCCTGGTCAGTGGATGACATAGGCGAGCTGCAGGTGGAGGTGAGGGGCTCCGGAGAGGCAGCTCTGGGCCAGCACTCTTCCCCAGGAGCTTCCAGTATACTAGAGACCAGACCACATGCTGAGAAGGGCTTAGGCAGGGTCCCAGGTGACAGGGCAGGTAGGAACAGGTATGAGAGGGAAAAGTTCTGACCAGCCCTAGGGTGGAATAGATTTGCATGGAGTTCACTTTACTGCAGGAGGAATTTAGGTTAAATGTAGGGAGGAAATTCAAAGCCCAGTGGAGTGAGGGAAATTTAATCAAAATATTTATTGAACATCTGCTAAATAAAGTCTCAGGAAAGTAGAGAATAGTAAGTCATAGTTTAATAAATATTTCAAGAAGTCCTGATGGAGGGTCTCTGTGGCAGCAGTGAGTGCTGTGATCCTGGCCCTACCTGCAAGGAGCTTCAGACCTAATAGGAGAGAGAATGAGACCAGTTAGCAGGTAGTGGTAGTACGGTGGGCTCTAAGTCATGCTGGAGAGGATGGGGCACTATGGGAGCACCTGTGCATGGGGATATTTATTCCAGACTTGGGGGTTGACACACAGTTTCCTGGAGGAAGTAATAATCCAGCTGGGCCTGAAGATTGGGTAGGAATTAGCTGGACAGAGTATTCTAGTTGAAGGGAATAACGTGCAAAGACTCGAAGACGAGACCTTGGCCTGGTTTTGGAGCTGAAATTTGTATGGCTGTAATGGGTGAGCATGGGTGAGAAATGGTGAAGAATGGACTGGAAATGTGATATGTCAGATTTGTAGGAAGGATCCTGTACATGATGGAAAGAAACTTAGACTTTATTCTGAGGTTGTAAGGAGCCAGAGCAGGATTACATGTAGGGCTGTGACACAACCAGATTTCACTTTGTGAAGACAGACTCTCTGTCCTTGAATTTAGAGTCAGATTAGGGAAATTGGACACAAACATTTATGAAAAAAATCTATAAGATGTATAAGGCAGTGTGCACTATATGACGAGTGGAGTTTAGGATAAATGATCTGGTACAAGGGAAAGGACTTGATATGAGCCTTGGGGTCTGGTAGAGTATTTTATAGTTTGAGAGATGAGGAGATAAAATTGAATACCTTAGGCTGAGACATGGTCAGAGGAGCCTGGTTTTGGAGAGGCTGTGCTCTGTACTCTGAGGGAGAATGCATCCCTCCCCTTGGGGAGCTTCTAGTGTAACCCTGAAAGTTCAGCTTGCTGTGATGGTCATGCAGTGGTTTATAAACTTCAGCATGTTGAGAGTCTTCTGGAAAACTTATTAAAAATTCAGACTTCCAGATCCCATTCCCGGTAATTCTAACTCAGATCAATGGTGGGGTATGGGAATCTCCATTTTAGCAGCATTCCAGGCAGTTCTGATGCAGGTAGTTCATACTTTGGGAAACACTGCTGTATGACCTCTGTGAGTGCCTAGGCAATTTGAGGAGATACATGAGCAGGGGAGGCCTTTCGGAGCAGTTTGAAAGTGAGGAGGATTATGACATGGAGACAGCAAGTCCACAGGGCAGTGTGAGTAGGAAGTGAAAGAAGCAAGACCTGTGCTGATCACTTCCAACCGGCACTGCCCACTCTCCCCAGCTTCCTGAAGTGCACACCAACAGCTGTGACAACATCTCCCAGTTCTCCGTGGACAGCATCACCAGCCAAGAGAGCAAAGAGCCTATGTTCATCGCAGCAGGGGACATCCGGTATGGCCAACCCACGTGGCCCCTCATTTTTCCATCCCTCTTTCAGGCCCTGCCTGTCGCTGTGTCCCCTTCTTCTCTGTCAGCTGGTGTCCTTGTCCTGAGACCCCCAGACTTGAAGCAGTGAAGGTGCAGGTTGAGAGTACTAGACTACTACACATGGAAATTAAATTTGAAAAGGACTTCAGAGGGATGAAAACACCAGAGGAAGGACTTAGAGCAGCATTTCTCAGAGTAGGCCTGAGAACTACATGTGTCAGAATCAAAGGAGAGGGAGGAGATATTGTTGGAAATGCGAATGGATGGTGGAACCACACCTGTTCTGAATCAGAATCTTCATAGAAGAATGGTGAGGGCCTGGTAATCTGCATTTTAATGTGATTCCAAGCCACCTGGTTAGCAAGACACCAGTGGTGTGTTTCCTTCCATGAGTCCCTCTCAGCCGAGGTTTCTATCTCTGTGTGCCCAGAATCAAGGGAACAGTGCAGGAAATGCCGGCATAGACAGGGACATGAGACTCTAGGGTAACTCCTCCAAGCAAATGATATAGTTTCTTCCTGCTAGACGGCGCCTTTCGGAGCAGCTGGCTCAGACCCCTACAGCCTTTAAACGAGACCCAGAAGACCCTTCTGCAGTTGCTCTCAAAGAGCCCTGGCAGGAGAAAGTGCGGTGAGTCAGGTCACGGGGTGGTCTCTACTCTCAAAGCCTGGAAGTAACTGCACGTACTCACTGCACCCCCCCCAGGCGCCCATCAGGCTCCCAGGTGGTCTGAGGCCTTGCCCTCTGTGGAGTTTGATCTGGAGTTTTGGTGGAAGCTCTGTCTCTGTCCTCACACCTCACACTGGCATCACCCTTTGACACCTCTTGCTTCTCTCTTCACAGGCGGATCAGAGAGGGCTCCCCTTATGGCCATCTCCCCAATTGGCGGCTCCTGTCAGTCATTGTTAAGTGTGGGGATGACCTTCGGCAGGAGCTGCTAGCCTTCCAGGTGTTGAAGCAACTGCAGGTAAGAGAAGGGACAACTACACATGTCATTCTGCCGGGAGCTGCGGCTGGGGACCAGCTTCCTGCCCAGGTTTAAATTAGATGCAGTTTGCACTAAAGCTGGTGCTCCTTCCTCAGTATACTTCCCCAGGAGCACACCCAGGAACAGCTCCACAGTGCCCTCTTGTGGCCCTTTGTGACCTGCACGTGCTCTGAAAACTGAACTTCGGGGTGCTGGGTTTGTCCTTTGGTTGAAACTCCCCTGGTCTGCGGCAGGTGGGCTGCAGTGTGCTGAGATGTTGATCACATGGGGCTCTGGGTTGGTTGCTTCACCTGCTTGATCCAGTTAGTTCATATTTTCATTTTCTAGAGAAGGCTTCGCTGATCTAAATCCTTTTCTGACTTTTACCCCTTTTCTGTGAACTTGGATTAATATCTCCTACTCTCCCTGCTTGTGAGGTGACAGTGTAGTTTCCTGTTCTTCCTGCTTTTGGGGGGCTTTCTACCTAGAAGATGCGTTTAACCACATACCTCCCTGTGTCTTGGCAGACCCTGGACTTCCTTTCAAAACTCCTTAGCCCTCAGTGGGTTCAGCAGGTTCTACTGACTTTTTGGCCTAGAAACCAGGATTGGTAACAGGGGTATTTTAACCTCTTCCCCTAGTTCAGACAAAGATGATAGTCCCAATACCTCTGTCTCCTCACAGTCCATTTGGGAACAGGAGCGAGTCCCCCTGTGGATCAAGCCGTATAAGATTCTTGTGATTTCGGCTGACAGTGGCATGATTGAACCAGTGGTCAACGCTGTGTCCATCCATCAGGTGAAGAAACAGTCCCAGCTCTCCTTGCTTGATTACTTCCTGCAGGAACACGGCAGTCACACCACCGAGGCATTCCTCAGTGCCCAGCGCAATTTTGTACAAAGTTGCGCTGGTTACTGCTTGGTCTGCTACCTGTTGCAAGTGAAGGACAGGTAGGTAAATTCCTGCCCCTCATCCTAACCTTTCTCCAGGGTTCCCTCCATCCCTTCATGTGTGCAGTTTTCACTCATTCATCACCACTTTCCTTGGCCAAGATGGAAAGGTGAAACAACATATCTTAAGCGGAGGAAGATGTGTTGATGTGCCATTAAGCCAAGGAGGCATACTGACAAGTGCTAGGGTAAAGGGACAAAGAAGTAAAGGATTTATGGGAAGGATTTAAGCAAGGGTTTGAGTGAGCAGGGTCTTTGAGAATAAAGGAAATGAGGACAGAGAACGCTGTGAGGGAAGGATGCTCCAGGTAGAGGAACAACTCAATGTAGTTAAAGTTTGGGCTACCCCACATGACAATAGTAGGTGCTGACATCAGGCATGAGATTTAGGGCAGATTCAAAGGGCCTTCCTGATGAGGCTGAGAGGTTGTATTTCACAGGTGGAAGAATGACACAGTCCAGTCTGTGATTAATGAATGCACCCCGTGGTGTCAAAGGTGATGTTGGATATAGATGTGGCATTGTTGGGTGTAGCAACAAAGCAGGAGATCATGAGGCCTGGCTGAGGGCAGGGGTGGTGACGGAGAGCAGAAAGGACAAGGGGGATATGAGAGACATGTTGGAGATCTAGTTGAAACTCCCAGCTGGATTCTCCTTCTTGTTCCAACATATGACTTCAAAACTTTAAGTATCTGTTTTGCCCAGAGCTGTCATTCTTCCAAAATCCTATGACCTTTATGAAGCCTAAGTTCACATATAGGCAAACTACAGATCATACAAAGATAGTTACACCACCAAGGCCCTGCTTTCTAAGACTATCTGCAGACAGTGACTAGGGGTCAGTACTCCAAATGCTCCTGTGAGTTGCACCTCTCACTGGACACATAGGGCAGCTGTCCTGGGAATGCAGAAATGGAAATTCAGTGGCCTCTGCTTCCAGGGCTCCCAATGACATGATGGCACATTAAGATTTAGCTAACAAGGTGGCTTATCAGAAATCTAGCATCTATTAAATGCCTGCCATGGCCTGACATTCTTATATTGAAATCAAATGAAAGCCCCATCAAACAGGTGTTTCCTCATGAGGGAAATTGGGTCAGGGAGCTTTCAGAACCTGTGCTCATTCCACCCTGCTAGCCTTACAAATGCATCCTGCAGAGGGTCTGCATGTGAGGGCTGAAGGGAAATCTGGTGATTTATCAGAAGTTTGGTTGCAAGCTTTTGCCTGTCCCTGAAGAGTTAGGATTTTGAACCCAAGACCCAGAGATCCTAGAGCTGAGCCCTGGGGACTGAGTAAATGGGTGGCAGGGAGGTAGGTGCTAGTCCAGTTTCTAGGCTTTCCTTTAGGAAACCAGTACGTTTGGAGGATTACAGTCCATCCTGTAAAAGAGGGGGAGGGGTCAGGCAGCTGATAAATCTTTCATAACAACCCAAAAAAGTATCAATAGATGTAGTCAAGCCATGAATGGAATCAGCTACTGGAAAGAAATAGCAACAGTTAGCAGACCCAAAATCAGAAGCAGGTTTAAGGTCTCCTTAACTGCACCCGAATGAGTCCAGAACGTCCTTGTAGCTGAGAGCAGCTCCCGCAGTTAAGAAAAAAAAGAAATTTCCCTTCCCTAGCTTTGGCACCTTGGGCACAGAAGTCACTTCTCCTCTCAGAGCCTGTTTCATCACCTTTAAAATGAGAGGTTGCACTAGGACATCAACCAGAAACTTTCTGGCTCTCAAAATTGTGCCTGTGTTGCTAAATTGGTAACGCTTCCCAGAGCGGGAAGGACTCAGGTGGATCTTGGTTTTCCCTCTGGTCCCTCACTTTTGGCCAGTCAGACGAAACCTGGAGGTGGCCCACAGCCTGTGAGCTTTTAGCCTCACAAAGCTTCTGTTGACACTGAGGTCAGTTATGCTGAATGGACCAGGCCTTACAGGCTTAGCATTGATTGTTACTCCTCCCACTGGCCATTCATGTGGAAATCACAAAGCTTGGATTTACTTCCCTTTAACTCTTCTTCCTGCAGCTAACTTGTAGTAAATGCTTCCTGAGCTTTTTTTGTTTACATAAGTGATTTTATCAGATAGTTAAACCTTACCCGAAGAAGCCCTATTTTACATTACATTGTTTTACATTTAAACACTCAATATGCATGCCTCAAATCGCTGCTCCCATCTGGCGGGGTTCCGATCTGCAGTGGGCTGGTGAGGAATTGCACATGAAACACAGGTGTAAATAGGTTCAGATTGGAGGCCTCTCACTGAGCCAGGGGTTTGGCCTTTGTGACAGAAGAAAAAAAAAAGGCCGCCTTTTCTTGCTTTTGAGTTCTCTGCTAGATTGGGATCAGTTTGGACGCAAAAAGTACAATTTTTGGAAAATAGGGATGACCTTAAACTATTTTATGCAATTGTTAATAATGGCAATTTCAGACCCCACAGCATTTGCTAACAGTTTACTTTTCTCATTTCCCTTCTTTCCACTACTAGCTTAAGGTTTTAGGAGGTTAGACCAAGAGTTCTTGGCAGCAGGAAACATGGCAAGGGACTCCCCTGCCTGGTATCATGTGGCCAATGCATTGCAGCTTGAGGCTTCCGCCTCAGTCAGACTTAACTACTGCCTCTTCCTCTCTGCCCACTCCTCAGACACAATGGGAACATCCTTTTGGACGCAGAAGGCCACATCATCCACATCGACTTTGGTTTCATCCTATCCAGCTCACCCCGAAACCTGGGCTTTGAGACATCAGCCTTTAAGCTGACCACAGAGTTTGTGGACGTGAGTCAGGAGGGAGAGGTGCCTCCCCAGGTTCTTCCTGTCTTGGGAAGGGGAGCTAATGGGCTCCCCCTGCAATAGGGATGAACAGAACAGAATTGGCAGTAAGTGTGAGGTGGGGTGTCCTGGGGGGGCTTCCAGCCTGATAAGAGAGTGGGGAAGTAACAGTTTGGTGTGTTAGCCCGGGTGGAGGGAGGAGTTCTGGCCGGCTTGTAGGCTGTTAAGCCCCCTTGCACACACAACTCTGCTCCCTTCTCAGGTGATGGGCGGCCTGGATGGGGACATGTTCAACTACTATAAGATGCTGATGCTGCAGGGGCTGATCGCTGCCCGGAAACACATGGATAAGGTGGTGCAAATCGTGGAGATCATGCAGCAAGGTGGGTTGAGGGGAAGCCAGGTGTTTGTGGGTAGGGCACTGCCCATAGTGCCACAGGATTCCCACTTCTGTTGTGTCCCTGGAGCAAGGAATTTCCAGAATGTTGATAGCACCTCAAGACTAGGGCTGGGAGTTCCCAGGGTTCTAGCTCTGATTTAGTACCCTGTTTCTCCTCGGAGACACTCTTACTGACCCTGGCAGAGCTGGGTCCTGGGGGTGTGGGGGTGAGGACATAATAGTCTCATCTCCAGCCTTCTGGTCCCTTCCCATCTACCCATCCCTTGTCCAGCTCTTGAGTTCCTGTCTCTTCCTTCCATCACTCAGCTCTTTACCAACTCAGGTGCTTCCAGTCACCACTTTTCTACCCATTGGCCTTTAACCTCTGACTGCCCTGTCCTCAGGTCCCTTCCCTATCCCAAAACTCACTCCTGCTCTGAGCTAAGAGGTCTTTCCTCCATCTCCCATCTTTATCTGCTCACGGTGCTGCTCCTCACTGCCTCACCACCTACTGCCTTCTGTCCAGCATCCCTCCTCCCCTTGCTCCTCTGGGCCCTCATCCCCATCTCCCTCCTCGGGGCTAAGTGTACACCCAGTCTAAGCTGCCCATCTCCTCCCCCTCCCCATCCCCACCCCCACCCCACCCCCACCCCACCCCCAGGTTGCCATCGTTGCTCAGGAGCGTCCACGTCTGGCCCCCTGGTGATGGTGGCCCAGGTCACCTGTATCAGACATAGCACAGGCAGAGGCCTACAACCAGATAAGTGCCCAGCCTAGGGCCCACTCCAGAGCCTCTCCCCGGCCTCCCCCCAGGGTCCTGAGACTCTGCTCCCGCGGCCACCACAGGGAAGGTGTGTTGTCGGCTCTCTTCCCTCCTCTGCCCTCACCCAGAGGGGCTTAGGAGCGTGGGGCGAAGATGGGCTCAAGACAGGGCCTCCTGCCAATTTTCCCTCCTCTGGCTCAGCAGAATTGGATCTATACTGTGAGGGAGCTCTGAGGGGTAGGGAAGGGGCACTTCAGATACCCCGGCTCTGTGTTTGCTCTGGCCGTTACCACTGCCTGTCCCTCCTTTCCATCCATGACTCGGTGCCTTCACTGCTTCCCCCAGGTTCTCAGCTCCCTTGCTTCCATGGCTCCAGCACCATCCGCAATCTCAAAGAGAGGTTCCACATGAGCATGACTGAGGAGCAGCTCCAGCTACTGGTGGAACAGATGGTAGATGGCAGCATGCGGTCCATCACCACCAAACTCTACGACGGCTTCCAGTACCTCACCAATGGCATCATGTGACACCCTCCTCAGGCCCCATGGTGGGGGATTTAGGGGACCCTCCCTGGGAGGGCCCTTGTTTAAGAAACCCAAACCAGGAAACCCCACACACCCAGCCATCCACCCAAGGGAAATGGAAGGCAAGAGATACAAAGGATCATGTAACCATAGAGCTTGCCAGGGGTGGGAGGGCCAGATGTGGGGTCCAGAATTGCTGGGCCTTCCTTGCCACCTACCCACCCTCGGCTGTGTCAGTATTACCACCTGACAGACCCCAGGACTCACAGCCCTCCAGGGAAGAGGTGACAAATGTGAGGGACATTGGGGCCTTTCCTCTCCTCACTTGGGTCCAAGAGGTTCTTTCCACTGGCCATCCTCTTAATCTGTTCTAGGTCCCAGAGGGGAATAATAGGTTCTTGGTACTTAAGACTTGACCCTGTGGTTGGCCTGTGGCCATGCTGCTGCCCGACTGTCCCCTTCCAGGGACCGACCCTTAGGCCAGGTTCCCTTTGGTAGGTGGGCTCTGGCAAAGTCCTGCACTTGCTGAAGTCCACAGGGGCAAGGAAGGAAATTACCACCCTCCAGTACATGAGGGTATTGGCCTGGCCATGGGGAATTCTTTGCCCTGATCCCTTCCCCACATCCAGGGAAATAGCTCTCAACTTTTTAATTTTTATCTGAAATAAAGTCCTTAGCCATGTGTCATTTCTGAGTTGTATTTTGGGGTGTAGGTGATCAGTGAACAGATGCCTCAGCGTCTAGGATCCAAGGTACACCACCCAGAATGAGGAGGAAGACTGCTTTGTCCTGCCTAGCTCAGTCAATACATTTTTGACTCTTACTCCCTGCCTATCAAGTCCACATTGTCAAGTCACATGAAAAGAGAAGCCTGGATGGGATTAACCTCGAGCAGTTTTAATTATGTTTTTTTCCCTCCCGTTTCCCCCATTGTTAGTATTACTACTACAAGAATAAAGGATTCCTGAGACCCAGTCCCCTCCTCTTCCTGGGCCCCCTTGACAGGACTCATCCCCACCCTGATTTCTGGGGGTGGGGAATAAAAGAAAGGCACTGTGGGAGACGGGGGCGGTCCTTGAGTGCCAGGGAGCCTGAGGGGTGGCACTGGGGCAGGGCCAGGCCCACGGGTTGAGGAGCAGTGTCCTGACTGCCCCAGCAGTGGTCCTTCCTTGGGCCTGTCAGGCAGGCCTAGGAAAGTCCCACCTCACATCCCCAGGTGCACACTGCTCTGCAGCAGGAGGAGAATTAGTGTTGGGCTTAGAAAGAAGAATGGAGGGCCCACTCTAGCAGGGCCAAGGACCAAACCCAAAGTGGAGACTGCAAGTAACTATAATCCTCAAAAGCTTATCTTTGGGGGCTGGAGGAGGACTGAACAAAACATGAATGATGACAACACCCCTCAGCCCAGAGGCCAGGCAAGCAGCAGTAGCCCAGGCTCCTAGGGAAGGGGGGGACCGCCAGTCCAGGCCTGGGGCCTAGTTGTCCCCACTGCCCCCTTGCCTAGCCCTGATGAACGCCATGCCGTGTGTGCGGAAATGGGTCTTGAGGTTGAGGGGGCTATCACAACTCTTGCCACAGACTTTACAGGTCAGTGGGCCTCCAGCAGCAGGCAGGGGTGACTCTCTACCCTCTGGATCAGATCTCGATGGAGGTGGGGCCTCCTCTTCCCCATCCCCCAGGCCCAGGGCACTGGCACTACCCACACCCCGTTTCTTCTTGTGGCTGATGAAACGGTGCCGGCTCAGGGAGCCAGGAGAGGCAAAGCACAAGCCACAATCGAGGCACTGCTGGGCACCACCATCCACCCTCAGCCCCACCAGGAGGCTCTGCTCCACTGAGCTGCTGCTCCGGTAACGCAGGGGGCCATGGCCTCCCGACCCGGGTCCACCCCTGGGGGACTTGGCTGGAGGTGTTGTGCTGTCAGGCTCCTCACTGCAAGAATCAGAGGACTGGCGGTGTTTCCGTCCCGTCCCCTGGAGAAGAGTGAAGAAATTGGGTGCCAACATCACCCCCAACTGCCCCTGGCACCCCACCTGGCTTCCTAAGGCCAGGGTCAGTAACCTGCATTTTCCCATAACCATGGCCCAAACAGCAGGACAGCAGGTTGGGCCTCTGCCTACCTGGGCTCTAGCACCAGGGCCCCGAACCAGGGCACTTCCTCGGCTAGGGGACTGGGCCCCGAGTGGCAAGCCATGCCGGACCTGGACGTGTTTCTCCAGGATCAGGCGGCTGCTGAAGGTGCGTTTTCCTTCTGTGCAATACCTAGAGGAGAAGAGGGGGCAGGACTGGTGCCAGAGGCACAGCCCAAGACCAAGACCCGTGACTTGAGAGGAGGTGGGCTATTGGAATGGAGGGAGGTCTCAAGTCCACTCAGACAAGAGGCAGGTGGAAAGGTACTTCAGAAGACATGGGGTCATGGGAGTGAGGGTCACCTGCTGGGCGGAAAGAGGAAGGGGGCAAGGGACAAGGGTTACCTGCATGGATAAACTCGCTTGATACCCTCATGATTGACCCTGACGTGACGTCTCAGGCTTGGGGCAGAGCAGAAGGAGCGTTCACACAGGCGACAAGGGAACTTTTTCACTGACTAGGAGAGAAAGGAGTGGGGAAACTAGAAGCCAGGCTCCATCAGGACCCCATCCCCACTTCCACACAGATCACCCCAATGCTGCCCCTCCAGCCCATCTTGCTCCCCTGGGCGAGCCCCACTCACCTTGCCATGCTCCTTCTTCATGTGAGCCACATATTCATCACGCTCAGGGAACCAGGAATGACAAAGGCCACAGGTCCAGCCTCCAGGGCCCCCACCCCCACCCTTGATGCCTTTGCTCCCCAATTCCCGCCGGGGCCGTTTGGTTGGTCGAGGGGGGTCTGGGGAGCTGGGGAGCTCTTCCTCTTCTGAGGATGATGATGATTCCTCAATAGGGGGAGCTACTCCTTCCCGAGACACAGCCAGCTCCTCAGGCTCAGTTTTGGGGGTCAGAAGGGCAGCCCCGGCCCCTTTCCCAGCAGTCTCCTCCCCCAGGAGCCCCGACTGGTGGGTGTTCTGTAAGGAGACAAGGCAGATGGCAGTTGGGGGCTTGGGCCTGGCTTTGCCAGATCCTCGTTTCTCCCTGGCCCCCACTTCCTGAGGGTTATGTGACCCCAGCCTCAGGTCAACATAGCTGAGCACCCTGCCTATCCCTTGACTCCTGTACCTTGAGATGTTCCAGCATGGTCCTTTTTTGGGCAAAAAGCAGAGGACAAGATGGACACTTAAAAACACTGACACGCTGGGGCAGCAAGTGCTGGTCGAAGTGTGAGGACAGGAGGGGTTTGTGAGTGAAAACTGTGTCACACATGGCGCACTTGTAGATCATCCTGTGTGGACAGAGAGAACAGTGTAGACACCCAACCCCGTCAAGGCCCAAGCCCCCCTCCAGCTCGTCCCTCCTCATGCTCCCTCCCCAGGTCTCACTTGGCCTGCTGCGTGTGGAAGGTAGGATGCTGGGTGTAGAGGTGGGCGTGAGCGCTGGGTGCAGACTTGAAGGCCATGGGGCAGATGGGGCACTTGTGGAAAACCTCGCAGTGTGATGTCTGGATGTGGGACTTGATGGAGTTCACACCCCCAAACACCACTGCACAGCTGGGGCACCTTGGGAAGAAAAGTGGGAGGTGCTGTGGTGAGGCAGGGATAGCGCCATGCCCATTTGCCCACTGTACACTCTCTCAGGAACTGGGGGGACTCTGGAAAGTTCATCGGCAATGAAACACAAGCACGGTGGAGAAAGGAGGGAGCTTCAGAGACTGGACTCCCCGAGGGAGGCCTGCTGAGGCAGAGCTGGGGCTCCAGAGGTGGCCCTGCTCACCCCCCACTCTGAGGAAAAGGGTTGGGAAGGCAGACAGACGCCAGGCTGCACGTGCCTGCACGAACCCTGAGAGCTTCAGCTGGAGGAATGGGGCTCTCCTGGAGAGGCCATCTAAAAGGCTGGGGCTGGACAACATTAGACCACAAAGTGCACGGGGGAAAGTGCTGACACACTGGGGGGAAGAGAGGTGTGAGGCACCTGTATCCTACACGGCGTGAGAAATGCAGACAGGCCTCCCGGAGATGAGTCTGAAAATTGGCTTGTAGGAAGTTGCCCCCGCACTCAGGGCAGACATGGGGAGATCGGTTCTTATGCATGCGCTGGTGGGCACTGAAGCTGCAGCGATTCGGGAGCATCATGGGGCAGGTTGAGCACACCTGTGAAGGGGGTGGTGAGAAAAGGTGAGTCAGTGAGGAATGGCCTGCCCCCATTACTACTACTAGCCAAGCCCTCAATACCCTCCTAGATCCTATCCCCATGGCAACTGGCTGTCCCCTTCCCAGGGAAAGGCTGTGAAAGGCAACTCACATTGCTGGAGGCCCCAGGAGCAGGAGGCCCAAGCTGCTGGAAGTGGGCCGCCATGCCAGCCTTGTCCCGGCACTGGTCCTTGCACTCCAGGCAGCGAAAGCACGTGTAAGCAGAGGTCACAGGGGCAGAAGGTGGCTCAGTTGAGAGTGGCAGGACAGGGCTCTCAGCAGCAACTGTCGTAATGGTGGAGGTGATGGCCGCATCACCCTTGCCCAAGGAAGGCAAGGCTGGAGGGCCAAGAGCAGGCGGGACAGCCAGCAGGGGTGTGATGTCCGGCTGCCCCACCATCTGGTCAAGGGCAACAGGCCTCATGACCAGGTGCGAACACTGCATGACGAGTCCCTTGTCCTTGTGCTCGCGGGCATGTAGCAGCAGGCTGCACTTATTGAAGAAGACCAGGCGGCGGGCGCAGTGGTTACAGGTGACCTCGATGCGCATGCTCCGGCGGTCATAGTGTCGTGCCAGGCTCTTCTCCAATGAGAAGGCATCTCCACACTCAAGGCAGCGGTAGCCCGCTGGAGGCAAGGCAAGCCCAGCCTCAGCCGGTGGACTCAGGTTTGGCCGGTAGGCAGGTAGCAGGTTCTTGCTGTTAAGGATCTTGTTGAAGGCTTCCACTAGGCTGGACTGGGTCCGTGAGATGACCGTGCCACCCCCTGCACCAGCCCCGGCGGCTGGCTTAGAAGGCTGCACCATCACCACTGAGGCACCGTTCACCTTCTGCCCCCCTGTTCCCAGCCCTGCTCGTCCCTCAGCCTTGGGCAGAGCTTGGGGTACCAGACCTAGCACGCTCTTAGCCATTGTCTTAGGGCTAGTGGCAGTGCCCCCAGGCAGAACCACAGCTTTGCGGGCCACGCTAGCCGCCATAAGCATGGCAGTACTTGCATTCTGGATGGTGGCCACAGGCAGCACAGTGCCCTTCAGCCTTGTGCCATCACCCAGTTGGACACTCACCACCTTTGGACCCTCAGGGTTTGGGGTTGCGGGGGACAGCTTCAGGAGGCTAGCCTCAGCCAGGAAGGACCCCTCAGCCATGGGGGCAGGGGGATCGGGGTCTGAAGGGACCCGGGTTACAGTCCTTGTGATACCCCCACAGGACGTTTTAATCGTCTTGATCCGTACCTTGAGGGGCCTAGAGGAGCTGGAGGAGGCAGGGGAGTCATTGCTGTCCTCATCTGCAGCCTCAGCTCCACTAGAGTGACTCCGGGGGCTTCCCAGGGGAGACTTGTCCACCAGCCCCTCATCTTCTTTTAGGGGCTGACAGCCGGGCACTTTAGCGGAGGTAAGAGGGCTCTGGTGCCCTGGAGACTGCTTGAAGAAAGGCCCCCGAGCAATTCGAGGAAGCAAGGTGCTGTCAGGGATGCCTGTGGCCTCAGGGCTAGAGCCTGAGCCTAGCTGGGCTAGGCTCTGGGGATGAAGGGGGCTGCTGCTGCCCTGCTGCAAGGCCTCCAATCGGGGTGAAGAACCCGGTGGCAGGAGGGCCGGGCCATTCTCCCGGGTCAGCTCAAAGGGAGAGGAAAAAGGAGGTGGGGTCACAGCCCCTTCCTGAGATGGGGAGGGTGCAGAGGGAAGCAGGGGATCAGGATGCACCCCTGGCTTAGGCCCAAAATTAGCAAAGAGGTCCAAGGGAGCTTTGCCTTCCATGGCCTTTTCTTTCCAGGATCCCCCGCTAGGAGAAGGTAGAGACTGGGGTGTTCCTGGGAGAGGAGGCTCAGGGCCCCCAAAACCATTTTGCATCAGACGAAGTCCCCTAGGCCCTTCCTTAGTCACCCCTTCAGCCAGGGCCCCTTCCCTTCCTGAACTCCCAGGTGGGGACTCAGACTGCTCAGGACACACAGTGTTCTTGACAATGACGCTGACTGCCGAGATATCTGATGGTGGCGAGCCATGGTCACAGGCCTGGGCTAGAGCCCCAGGGTCATCACCAGCAGCTGCTGCTGCTTCTCCAGATTCACCTCTTATACTAGGTTCTGACTTCCCTGAGCCTCCTGACCCCTCATTTTCTTCTGGGCCAGTGTGAATGGCTTCATTTGCATCAATGTCGGGAATGTCAAAGGCCGCAAGGAGGTCATCAAAATCAGGAGTCTTCATATCCCCCATGGCAGCGGGCTCCAGACCTGATGAGAACAAGAAGAGAAGCTGAGAGCTCTGGAAGCAGGAACTCTGTACCTCCTCCCTCAGGACCTTCTTCATCCTGTGTCAGAACCACATGCACTCGACTTGGGCGCCCCTCTACCACAGCGCAAGCCCTGGAGAGCTGGTGCAGGCATCTGGTCGGCCAGACCCTAACACTGAAAGGGGAGGTAATATGCACATTCCAAGGAAGACACCAAGATCCAGAGAAAGCGAAGGGAAAGAGACTGCTCAGAAATACAGGTAAGACAAAACGGTTATAGAGGCAGAGGGAGTTCAGTGAGGACCTTGGTCGAAACCACCTCAGTTCCTCCTGTGCCCAGCACAGAATCAATTAATCAGTACTACTATTAAGGAGGAGGATGTACACGATGCTGTGGGTCAAAGGGCTCATTCATGGCAGCATGGGACCCATTCATAATTCTTCATGGATCTTCTGGAGGTTCGCAGAGATCTGAAAGGCCATGCGTACAAAGAGGCAGTGACTTAAACCAAGACAAGAAATTATTCTAGTTCCAGCTTATCAATGGCCTGCTTGATAAACTGTTATTCCACTGCCTTACATTTGCTGTTTGCAAGGGGGGGCAAGTAATCCATTTATCAGGGTTATTCTGAGCATGATAATGTAAACATGAGAGTCAGAATCTAGAACCTATTCCCGCTAGGACAAACAAGGACATCTCAGGTCAAGGAGAAGTTGGGAAGGAGTAAGCACTGTAAATCTGTGGTGGGGTCAGAGACAAGAGTCAAGGGCCATGCAAGGCCATCTGGGGCACGTGGGGTCATCCCCAACACCTGGAAATCCAGCTTGGTTAACAGGGAGAAGTGGACTCAGGGAAATCACCCAAAAGACCAAGACAGAAAGAATAAAACACAGGAACAGAAAGAGACAAAGAGACTAGACAGAGGGGAAAGCCGTGACAGCAGCCTGGTCACAAGGGCCCTAGCCGAGGCTTCTCCCAGGCACAAACACCTGCTGCCTTGCTCACCTACCTTCCCCAGAGCGGCCCGCTCCCCGCCCTCCCCTAACCAGCCCCTCCCCCTCCCTCTAGTACTCTCTCAGGGCTAAAACCCCAGGGCACAAGCCTCACCAGCACAGCTGCCACCACGGGGGAAAGCTGGGCCTGCTCCCCACTGTCATTTCTGCTCTGAGCTCCTAACTCACACTCCTCACCCTTTTCATCTTCACTTGGCAACAAGCAGCTCAAGAAGTCCCACCCAGCCCCAACATGGCCCAGCACACACACACACAAAAAGTCCCACAAGACTTATGTGGCACTTAAACAACAAGAAAGCCAGCCCAGAGTTCGTGGGTACCCAAGTCTGTCCTTTACCAGTTTCTTCCACAAGTGTTTCTGTATCTAGGAAGAAGCACTCAAGTAGTCTCTGTCCTCATACGTTGCCTGCTCGGGATGCAAGTCATTTTTCAGGGCCAATTCTCTCACCTCTTGCCAGCCTTTAGACTGTAACTGGAGCTACTCCAGCAAGCGGCCAGTGGCACTGCTGGGACCAAGGTGTGGGTGGGAGAAGATACCAGATACCAACCAGAGGAAGAAAGGGAGTGCTCCCCTCATCACCCCAAGTCATTCCGCAGGTTTGGGATTTCGACAAAGCCCTTCAACCCCCTGTGGCTGCCCTGATGGACCACTAGGGCCCTCCCTCGGCATGGCTCTCTCCGAAAAGCACTCATAAAAGTGGGCTGATGGAGCACAGAGCTGTGGGGACTATAAGAAAACATCTGCCAACTCGTCTTCCCCAAGCAACTCCCCCTTTGGCGTCCAAGTGACTTAGAGGTCGTCGGAGAGCCAGCAGGACTGTCCCCCAAGCAGCAAAGCTCCAGCAAGAAAAGACTTCCCCCGACCCGACCCAGGCCTTTCAGAGGCTGCTGCGCCCTGTCTCTTGGGCTCTGCCTCCACCCCTCTTTCCCTCTGTTCTTCCCCAAAAGCTAAAGGAAGGGGGCTGAGCAGGAAGAGGGAGAACTGGCCTGGATCGGGTCGGGGTCCACTGCCCTTTCCCTTTCCCTGACCTGGAGCCTGCAGTGCAGAGGACGGCGAGGGCCAGCAGCCGGAGACGATTACGCTGCCGCCAAGCTGGCGAGCGGGCAGTAGTAAGTCCCTGCCATCTGCCGAAGCCCGGCGCGGAGAGCGTGTCCGGGGTTGAGGAGAGGGGGCGGTGTGTACACAGGAAAAGCCAGAGGGGAAACTGAGACGTGCAACGCTTCTCTCCCTCCCACCGGCATGAGAAGGGAAGGCTGGGCCTCAGCCAGGGCCTTGGGGTACCGTCGCGCAGCCCCTCCCAGCCCAGAACTACACGGGAGTAGGAAGGCGCGTGGAAAGAGGAGTGCAGAGGGGACCGTCTTGCGTTACTCGCAGTTCTCCAGCTGGGGGTCGTCCCGACCCCGACCTCCTCCCCTCCCTGCACAGCGCAGCACACCGCCCCTCTCGCAGACTCCCAAGGTTCTCTTGAGATTGGGGAGTGATCCAGGGGGCGCGGCAGCCTGGAGCGTCTGAGTCCTGTCCGGGCCCGGACGCTGAGGCTCCGCTCCGGCCGGGCCCGGTTCCCCCGCCCCCATCCCCGGACATAGACACCATTTTAGGTCGCTACATCCGCAGCCTCCAGTCACTCCGCCGCGCTCCAGACGCCTCTGGGGCTGGAGTCGGTAGTGCTTGGGAACCCCGACCCTCCCACGTTTACCCTGCTAGGGGCTGTGCTTTCAACAAGCTGAGAGTTTCCTCCATCCGCCCCAACGGACTGAGGTTGCGTCCGGGCCTTCCTAGAAGCCGCCCCAGGGGGGCGGCGCGGAGAACGGGGTAGTTGACCAAGTGGGGGAGGGGCGGGGTATTTACCCGCCCCCCCGGGGGCGGGGCCAGGGCGCGTGTTTACTCCATGCACGCTTACTCGTTCCGCTCCTCCTGCAGGCCGGGACTCGGCCGTCTCTCCCCTGCTTCAGCCGCTGCCGCTGCCGCCACCGCCGCCGCCGCCACGGCCGCCCTCTCTGTGGCTGCCGCTACTTCCTGCTTCTCTCCGCTTCGGCCTCCCCCTCCTTCGGCTCCCTCCGCGTTGCCGGGCTGAGCTGCCCGCTTTCGCACTCGCCATTGGCCAGTACCCGCGTCGTTCAGTACTGCGCCCCTCCCAGCCGCGCACGGGGTTGGCTTTAAGTACTGCCGTTCGGAACAAGCCCAGCGGACTTCCCAGCTTCATTGGGCAAGGACCCTAGGCCTTCTGAAGATGCCTCTCCCTATTGGTTGTGTCTGAGTCTGCAGCTCAAAACCTGCCCCATCTGTGCAGCTCAAAAGCGATTGGCCTCCGCCACTGTGGCTCAGAAAGAAGCCGACCTGATTCCCCGCTTTCCTACCGGAGGCAGTGACTATCCCGGTGCGTCTCCGCCCCCCTCACTCCCAATTGGCCGCAGTCCTTGAAACCCACAGTTCTCTATGCAAATTTAAAGGACTCTCAGCTTCCATTTGATGGCCACTTTGAGGAGAACCTCGTTCACTCTGAGAGGAGCTCAGGTGTGTAGATTGGTTTGCTGTTTTCTCAAGCTAAACCCCAATGTCAGTAATGCCGTGCAAAAGTCACAGAATATAACGTCACCCAAAACATTACGTAGTCTGGCTGACCATTTCCTCTTGGTTCTCACACTAAATCGTCCTATAATTTGCCTGTAGGGAGTTCTCGCGCGGGCCAGCTCCCGGGAGAGTGGCGTCACCCATACGTTCCCCGAGAGGACTTGGAGCGGGACCGGGACTTGGAGTAGGGACGAAACCGACACCTGACGCCCAGGAGGAACTGGCAGACCGGAAACAGGGAAGAGGTGACGTCAGAGTGCTGGCGTGGCCTGGGCCATTTCCAACGGGATCTTAAAGCGGCGTGCTGGTAGGCTTCCTAAACACGGGGGTGGTGGGGTGGAAACCCCGCCCACGTCCATTCCCCATTTAATAGCTCTTCTTTCCCCGCCCCCAGCACGCGTAGGGGTGGAGTCTAGGCCGATTTTCCCGCGCTTCATTGCCCCGCCCCCTGGAGGCGGGGGAAGGGGAGGGAATACTCGGAAAACTTGTTGCCCTGACATGCTCATCAGCACGCAGAATTTCAGAAGTCGTCTGCGAACCACTGCTCCGCAAACAATACCCCGGCGGCGAGCCTCTGCAGCCTGCAGCGCACCCAGCCCCTCACAGCAGGCACGTGGGTATTAAAAGTGGTTCTGTTACCTTGCCCTGGGGTCACTGGACCTCTGGACCCAGGATATTCCGTATGCCCTGAAAGTTGCGGGGATAATAGCAACTGTACTGAGGTGTGAAGTGGCACTTCTGGATGGGACTCTTGGGGCCACCACTTACCATATGGTTCCCTTGGGCAAGTCACTCAACCTCCCTGAACCAGTTTTCTCATGGGTAAAATTGGCATTGTAATAACTATTGACGTTGTTTTATGAGGATTAGGAGCATTTATAATTTAAAAGTGCTTTGTAAAGTGATGGACAAGTGGAATTAGTATCCCACACTCCGCCACCTTCTTTCTCTTGGTTGCCTACAGTTGCTGCAGCTCACAGCGCTCTTCCATCTCTGAGCAACTAACTAGAGTCGCATATCAGATGTAGCCAACCCGCAATCCATTCCCACCTCCTTCTCTTAGTCTTTCTGTATGGAATAATAATTACTACTGCTATACACTACTATGTGTGGGAACTTAATTATATTAACTCATTCCTTACCACAGCCCTGTGAAGGAGGTACTATTATTACCTCCATTTTACTGAGAAGGAAACTTTTGCACAGACAAGTTAAGTTAGGTGACTTAACCAAGGTCAAAGGCAATGGAGTTGAAATGGTCCAGAAAGCTAATCACTGTATTTCACAGATTCCCTTGCCAGGACAGTTCTAAGTAGAAATTTGTTCTTCAATTAAGTGCACTGTTAATTCATTTAAGTAATATTCTAATTCAGTATTTCTTGAGCACCATCAATGAGTAAAACTCTGTCACAGGCACTGAGGATACAGCAGTGAACAAAGTAGACAAGAATCCCTACCCTCATGAAACATACATTCCTGTGGAGAAGACAAGCAGTAAATATGATAAATAAGTAAAATACATAGAAACATGTTACAAATGATAATTTCCAAAGAGAAAATTAAGCAGGGCTAACATGCTACAAAAAGACATGGAGAAACTAAGTACACATTGATTGCTAAGTGAAAGAAGCCAATCTGAAAGGGCTATATGCTGTATGATTCCAACTATATGACACTCTGGAAAAGGAAAAACTATGGAGATAGTAAAAAGATAGTAAAAAGTGGTTGCCAAGCATTCAGATGGAGGGAGGGACAAGTTGGTGGAGCACAGGGAAACATCAAGGCAGTGCAACTATACTGTATGATGCTGTGCTCGCAGGTACATGACACATTTGTCAAAAGCCCTAATGTAAATGGTGGACATTAATTAATAATAAGTAATGTATCAATAGTGGCTCATTAATTGTAACAAATGTACCACACTAATACAAGATGTTAATAATAGGTGAAACTAAGCAGAAGAAGTGTATGGGGAACTCAATTTCTGCTCAATTTTTCTATAAACCTAAAACCGCTATAAGAAAGTCTATTAATTTTTTTAATGTAAAAAAATAAAGCAGGGAACAAGGACAAAGTGTGGGGAGGGTTGCAATTTTAGATAGAGAGGACAGTGAAGGCTTCTGAGAACGTGGCATTAAGGCTGAAGTTTGGTGAGTAAGCCATATAGCAGTCTGCATAGCGATCTGCAAGAATATTCAGGAAGAAGGAACAAATGCAAGGTGGGAGTGTGCTCCAGAGAGGTAAGGGCGTGGGAAGAGTGAGTCAGGTCATGGGATGTTTTGGGGACTATTGGAAGGACTTAGACTTTTTATCAGAGTGGGATGGAAAAGAGACCAATTGTGGCCTGACTTATCTTTTAAAATGGTTGGATGTGGGTCATGAGGGAAAAAAAAAAACTCAAAAGCTTGGAATCTGAAGAAGTAGAAGAATAGTAGTAGTATTTATGGAGCTGGGAAGACTACAGGAGAAGCAGGTTCCGGGGTAAGATCAGTAGTTCAACTTGAGTCATGTTCAGTCATATTACACATATAAGTGGAGATACAAACTTGGGTGTCAACAGCTTATAGACTGTCTGAAATCCAAGTCAAAATGGGTGAGATCACCAAAGGAATGTATGAAGATGGAAGGGGAAGAAGACGCAGGACTGAGCCATGGGGAACTCCAGAGTTTAAAGGTCAGGGAAGTGAGAGGAGCCAGTAAAGGAAAGAAGAGCAGAGAAAGGAAGAAGGGAACCAGGAGAAGGCTTTCATCCTTGAAGGCAGATAAGGAAAGTTCTTCAGGGAGGAGGGGGAAAGAATTCTGAACTGTAGGTGCCACTACAAGATCAAGTAAGATGAAGCCTGAAAACTGACCAATAGATTAAGCCAAATGGGGGCCATGGGTGATCATGATAAGGGTAGATTAGGTAGACTGGCATCGACAAAAGCTTGCGTGTAGTAGGTTCAAAAGAATTGGATGGGGGAGGTGGAGAAAAAGGAGACAGTAACTATAGAGACTTCTTTCAAAAAAGAGGAGAGACATGGGAAGATAACTGGGGGAGGCAGAGGGGGTAAAGAAAGGAGTACTTCAAGACGAAATTGTGTTGTATTAGTACACTGATGCGAAAGACCGTGTAGAGAGGAAACAGTGATGTTGCAGCAAAGAAATAGAGAAAAGTTCCTGGAGCCAAATGTTTCGAAAGGTGAGGGGTGGGGGTCTGGTTCACAAATACCAGGAGAGAAGTCAGAGTAAGCGGACATGGCAAGAAGGCTGTCAACTATCTCTCCAGTTGCTTTTATTGTCACAGTGTAAAAAACAAGATCCTCCCCTAAGAGTGAGGATGGTGGAAAAGCTAGAGGTTTGATGAGACAGAAGGCAGGATATAGGCTCAGGAGAGAGGAATGGACCAGGAGAGATCAAGGGACTGGAGGCCAGGGGTGTGGAAGGCTCATTTACAAGGATATTGAAGTCAGTTATTATGATAGAAGTAGTGTAGGAGCGACTGACAGAGCAGGGTGGGAGCAGTAGATGGATGCCTCCTGGGATCCTCCCAGTTTCCTGCTCACAACAAAAATAGCAGCCTCCCTAGCATAATGGTTCTGCCATGTCCTGAGAATCACTCTTAGAAGCCCAGACTAGAGCCCTCTCCTACAGCCCTGCCAATAACTTTGTAAACATCTAATTCAATAAATGTAATACTTTCTGCTTAAAATACCAAGACTGAGTTTGTTCCTTGCACTGAGCTCTGACCACTCAAGCCTTCAGAGTTGTGTATATGCCCAGGTGTGGGGATATATGGCTTGTCCCCATTGCTGTTGGTGGCATATATCGTTGCCTGAAGCTTGAACTTCTCGTATTCCCCAGCAACTTCTTTGTTGTAGTGTAGGTGAGACTAGGGTAACAAAGAAGTTTTCCTGTGGTTTATTTTAGGTTGTTGCCCTTTAAGGGAAAAGTGAGCCACTGAAACTGCCATACATGAACATATAGAGTCCAGCACCATGTCCCTTCAGCTCAGCCTCCCCTCGCCACACCACTCTCACCAGGTAGACTTGTTAGGCAGGAAAATAGATATAAGCAGGGTGGGAAGAGAATAAGGCCAGTAAAGCCCACTAGAAAGGACTCAAAGATTTAACCAGTTAAAAATAGAAAGCTCAGAAGGCCAGGAGCAATTTGGCCTAGAAGTTTGAATACTCCCCAGATGAAGAAAAGTATTTCATCATAGCCTATATTTTCACTGTGTCAATTAGAACATACGATTGTAAGATACACTTTAGCACCTGCTAAAAGGCCCAGCTTATTCAGGAAGAATTCTATCTTAGAGCTAAGACTGCATTTTAATCAAACGGACAGTGGCCCAGCCCACCTTGGAGGCAGGGCAGACAGTCTTGATTGATATGCTTCCAGACAGAAACTGATATCCTGGAAAGGAATCAAAGAAGAAAATTTATTGTGTTAAGTTAAAAGAAGAAACTTAACATCTTATCAAAGATGAACATTCTGGAACCATCTGGCAGGTCCACACCAGGCCCTTTGTTGCTTTCCTGAAAATCCTAAACTGCCTATAAAACCCCAGACCCTAAACCTTTCAGTGTGCTCCTCCCTCTGAGGTCCCCGGCACTTTCTAAGTGTGTAACTTTAATAAAACTTTCCCAATCTTTCAGCGCCTCTTCTATGAGGTCGCTCAAACTCCCCTTTCTCTGAATGTGCGTTTTCTCTCATTAAATAAAACTTAAACCTTTCAGGGCGCCTCTCCTCCCTGAGGTCGCCTGCACTTTTTCTCTCTTTACGTACATAACTTTAAATAAAACTTTTACTCTGCTTCACTACTGTGTCTCTGCCCTTCAGTTCTTTGTTGCCGCGGGGACTAGAACCAAGGAAAATACACAACTCCCCCACAAAGACTCACTTTTCAAAAACTAGAAGTCCTCATACCCCTGAGCCCAACTCCCTCTTCAAGCCACCCTCTCCATGGGTGACCTCACCCACAAACATCTGCCACCTTGGCCTAATGACTCTGCATGTGTCACTTGCTCAGAGCTTCCACCTGAGTGCCAGAATGCCACCTGGAAATGCCACAGACGCTCCCAAGGCTCATAATTTGGTTCAGGATGAGAACCAAATTCACTGCTTTCTGCCAAACATTCTCCTGTTCCTGGACTTACATCTCAGGGGTAGCTACCAACACTAACCCACACAGAAAAGTGGGAGGGGCCTTTTACTCATCCATCCTCCTTATCACACATGATGAGCAAGTCTTGCCAATTCCACCTCCTTCTGTCTCTCAAATCACTCTGTAAGCCCATGATCACAATCCTTGCTCTAGCCACCATCATATCGAGCCTGGTTGTTTGTAATGGATTCTTCATCCCACCTCACCCCAGTTGAGAATTTTTTTCTATGAAACAAAATTAATCCTATTTGGATGCTTACAACCCTTCATTCTCTCCAATTGCCTGCATGATAAAGTCCAAACTTCTTGTCATGTGTGAGGGCAAAATAAGGACATTTTTATACTAACAGAAACAGAGTTTACAACCAATATATCTTCACTATAAGAACTTCTACAGGATTTACTTCGGGAAGAATAAAAATTATCCTAGATTCCCGACTTCAAGCTCTGCTACAAAGCCACAGTAATCAAGACAATTTGGTACTGGCATAAGAACAGACCCATGGATCAATGGAACAGACTAGAGATCCCGGATATAAACCCAAGTGTAAGTCCAGGGAAAGAAAATCCTGGGGAAAAATACCTCTAAAAACAGAAATCAGTCAAAGGGAGAAATAAAGTTTAAAATCTGTTTATTGCTCACAAACTGCACTCCCAGGCTGTCTCTTTCCTGCACCAGCAGAAGCAAAACCATCTGTCTCCCTCACCTGTCAGAAACAGACAGATAAGCCCTCTGTGACCC